TGTCATAATATAACTGGTAATCTAAGGGAAAAGTGTATTTGTTTCTAGACTTGATATATCTGGTTAAATATAAAGAGTTCCTAGTTTGTTTCAAATGCAGGGAGTTCTCAGTTGGACTATGAAAGCTGAAACCTCTCAAAGAACAATCTGATTTGTTCTATAACCTTAAAATTTGTCCAAACATTAGAAACTGATTTTGGTTGAAATATAAAAAATAAAATATTCAAAACATTAGAAACATTGAAAATTAGAATGTTTTATTTCTTTATAAACAAGTCTTGAGTAGTTTGAACAGTGCTTGCTTTCTCATATAACTTACAATATGGAGCAAGCCATCTTTCCTATGCCTTGGCAAATTGTCATCCTCTTTTCTGAGTTTGATCTGTTTCTAAAGTTTAATGCTTTGCACAGTGTCATGAAACATCTGAGAGTTCCTTTAATGTGGTTTTTCACCTGAATCACTTCCTCCAAATGTATTCATCCTTCACAACACACAACTGCTTTCCTCATTTATAACAATGTTCACCTTCACTAAATTCTTCTGGCTGTATATCCACTTTTAGTGTATGTGCTGCTGAAGCAGCACCTTCTGGCTGTATATCCAGAACTATTTCCTGAATGGCAGCAGTGTAAACATTCCCACAGTCATACCTTCTGGAACTCCATTTACATTCCAGCCAAATCCTATCAAGTTTTTGCACAGTAGTCTCATACCACTGTGCAAAGCAAGGACTGCCTGTGATTCTTGGAACATGGGTGCAAATTTCCCAGTAGCATCCTTATCTGAACATGCAGCTTCACCAGTGAACATTATTCCATTCACGCCGACCTCCAAACGATGTTTAACCTTAACCGACTGAGCCACGCAGGCGCTCCAGACTTCTGAACGATGAAACCAGCCTTTCCCAACAAAAAAATGTTCTTTTTTAGTCTCCTGGTAATTACCATTTTCCTTCAGCGCAGCAACTAACCTCAACACTCTGGCCTGAATGCTAGCCAAACTGATTAGGATTTTTTATTACAGTCCTCCATCCAAAGTAGAAGCAAGCACTCCATTTCAACTGTAAGTGGCTTTCTGTTCCTAGTGTAATTTAAACTAAAAAATGTTGAAGCAACTTTACTTTGCTTTTTATATTCCTCGAACTTTTAAACCACAGTTTCTACTGCAGCTTTATGTAGGCCTGGGTCTCGTCTCGTCTTCGATATGCTGTCGCCATTTTCAAATCCAATTTCACTTCCAGTGTTAAAAATCACTTGTTTCTTTGCTGCCCTGCCAATTCCCTCTTCTGATTATCCAGTTTTGTACAATGTTGCATGGGTTTATTACTGGGAAACAAGTAAGCAATACAACTACGTGCTTTACTCCATGAACTAATAGATGTTTAGTGATCAATCACCAAGAGACTTTGAAAGATGTGATGTAACTGGTTACTGACCATGATGCACATCTTTTATAATGCATAATCAGTTGTGGAATAAAGAGCTAGCAACAAAACTTATGCAACAATTCAGTTACTATTGTAACTGAAATTACAACTGTGTTGTAGGAGGATTAGTGTTATTTAACTAAACTGTGAAAACTGATCTTCATGTATAATGGAACGGTGCAAAGTAAGGACCACCTGTATCTAAAAAGAAAAACTTGTATTAGTTCACAAAATAATCAACTTTTAATCCAATTTAGTTAACTACTAGCCAAACTTAACCATAGATCAAAATAGAAACTGAAGATTTTCTCAAAGGAATGTTAGTTCCAGAGTGAATTCCCACTGGAGATGGAAAAATGTTTGGAGACAATGTAATACAGAATTCTTCAAATTAGCATTTGCAGACAGTCCAAAGACATCCTTTTGAGAACTTAGGCCCCTTCCCTCATTTCAACAATTTTGAGGTCTGCAAAAGAATAAAGTTCTGGACAACTCTACTGTTGTCCTGATTGTAAAGCTTTATAATCATCACAAAGCACAAGACTGTATGTATTTACAACTTATTCCACACCAGCCAGTACCATGTTTTCTCCTGTGTAACAGTAGCATCCATCCCATTAATGTTTTAGTTTTGTCTTTGAATGCACTTATTTTGTAAATCTTTTGATTAAGGCCCGTCAACAAAATTTATATCAACTTTTATGTTTGTAGAAATTTATGAAATAGAAAATAAACTTAAATCAATACTGAGTATTTGCAAGAATTTTTCCTCTTTATATTCCTCAAATTTGAAACACCCCAAGACAACATGCCTAATTAGTGACAGATTAATCTGGTATTAAATTTGAGATTCCCAGCTTCTAACCACCTACTTATCTACTGTTCTTGAATAAAGATTAACTTATAGGATGGTCATTCAGTGGCATATCAAAGAGTCATTTATAGGACATACAAAAGTTCAGCAAATTTAAACCCTGGAATATATGATCTCTAAGAATCTCAGAGGCTGAATGACACCATTATTTTTGAGAAAAGATAATCATCAAGGTTAAAAGTCCTGACCCCAGCCACCCAATTGCCTATCCTGCATCAAATCTATTGATTCAGAAAATTATCTTTGAAATCATATTCTTGTTATCTTTGAAAAATGAAAAAATAAGGAAAAAAATTTAATTGAGTACAATGTCCACATTATGCTCAAATATCAATTTTTTGCTCAAATCTGATTGTCCGTTCTTTTGTCAAAACTAGCAAATTTATAAACTACTTACCTTACTATATAAATGTTCAAATTCTTTATCAGATAAATCTGACAAAAACACCCTTCAATTTCATTCCTAAAACAGGAACACATTTACAAGTAAATCAATATACGAAAAAATTACATCATATCTATAATTTTTTTCTCCCACTAGGATTTTCTTTTTCCATTATGTCCTCATCCACATACATTAATCACAACAGATCATGATGTGAACAGCAGTGGAAAAAGTTTAATCATTGGACATTTATATTTTCTTCCTATTTTCAACTTGAGCTTTAGTCATAAGTTTTTCATTGTTTAGCCCTTTTTAAAGAACACATAATATATACACATTTCTATAAATTTTGATTTTCATGAACCGGTAACACCTCCAATTTTACTTCCCATTGGAAAAATCATACCAAAGATAATCTCAAGTGTATCATTTAACTACTTTGCACAGATTACCTTATGCTAACTTAGAAATGTCTTAATATTAAGCTTGACATGGAAAGGGTAACCATACCTAATACAAACACATCCCAAAACTGGTTGTATCTTGTTTTTTACGTAATGCTTTTTGTTATTACACAAGGTCTCCAAAATAACCAGAAGCACTTAAGCTTTAAAGGAAAAGAGTTGTCACTGCTAACAAAGAACTTTTAAGCAGCAATTAAGGGAAAAGAAGACTCAAAAGATTACAAATCTCAGGCACAAATTAGAATTCTACCAATTAGGGGCATTCTGCTCAGAATGCCTCAATTAGGGGCTTGGCAAAGTCTGTATTTTGCACATCAAGAGAGATAAAAGACCGTGGTGGGAGGGGGGAGCAACAGAAAGAAAAGGAAATATACTCACCAAACTGGATAAATATCAAGCTTTTGAGGAAAAGGACAAATCGCTCTAAAGCTGCTGCTGTGTATTTATACCTTTATTCCATCCTATGTCAAATATATGTATAAGTGCCTTTAAGTAATTGGATTGCATTCCTTAGAAAACTCTAAACAGAAATTTCAACCATTCCAAGTCAGTCTGCACCCCAAGCAAAATACCAGGGATAGGGGTACTCAATTTCTATCTATAGTCTACTTCCAGCTTCTCTAACCACCTGCACCTAAGGAGGAGTTGGGAGAGGAGAAATGGGTCCAAGAAAAAAACATATATGATGAAAGTCCAATATTCTCTATCTATAAAATAAGCTTTCTTATATATTCTCTAGAAAATTTCCAATAGGAGTGGCATCACTTATGGAATTGATATATTCATGGGCAAGAAACCGTGCATCTTAGAAAAGAGAGCACTTATTTGAATACATATGCTCTCATACTTCTCATTATCTGACCAGAGGGTCTAATGTTAAATCTCTTGATTCAATAAATTGAAGCAGTTTAAAAAAAAAAACAAAAAAAGAGTAAAGGGTGATAGTAAACCTCCAAGATGGTCCCCAATGATCTCCCACCTCTTGGTATTCACACCCTCATATGTGTCGGCTTACATGTTAACTTGGCATTTCTCTCTTGGATCATTCCCTCTGGGGAAAGACAGTTGTCATGTTGTGAGAGTTCTCAGGCAGCCTATGGAGAGGTTCTCATGGTGAAGCACTTAAGTCTTCAGCCAACAGCCATCAAGAAACCAAGGCTTGCCAAGTGAGAGCCCAGAAGATGATGTCTCTCTGCTTTGCCCTCCTCCCACTGTAAGATAAGTGTTGTTGTAAACTACTAAGTTTTGAATAACTTTTACATAGCAATAAATAATTCATACAGAGAGTCACAATCCATATTCAAAAAGCAAAATGTACAACTTATGAATTAGCTGGAAAGGTCTGAAGTTTTAGGAAAGGGTCAGATTCGGGAACAGTTTTTAAGTTGGTCACCAATAATTTCAAAACCTAAAGGCTTTCTGAAATGAAATGGTGAAAAATTCAGCAAGAATGTAAGTCAGTTACCAGAAATACATTTTAATACAACAGGACAATAAATAAAGGTTCTAGTAGAAATAAGAATCTGACAAAAGAGTAGGTGTTCAACAAGGAAGATACCAGTCCTAGAAGGCAAAAAGTCTATTTGCTTTCCTAGGGTTGTTGTGAGAAATACATTTGTTTATAAAATAAACTTGTGTGTCTATACAATGCTTAGCACAATGCCTGGCACGTAGTCATTCAAGAAGCATTAGTTGTTATTTTTTCTCCAAGTGACCAAATTAATAAAATTCTGTAACAGGAAATTAGATTTCACCAAAGTCTTCGTAAATCTTTACTTACATAACCCGCCATTTCCAACTCACTACTATTGTTCTGGGAACACTTAATACATTTAAAGAAAGATATACTACCTCCCCTGTATATTTGAGTGATTATCTTTGAAGTCCCAGGAATCTTTTTCCAACATCTCCAAGAATGTAATTCCTAAAAAGAGATATTTTCTTTTATATTACAATGCACTACAGTCCATGCATTTTCCCAATATCTTTAATACAGTTTACATATCCTCATTAACGTATTCAATAATCACAACGGTTCATTATGTGAACAGCAGTGAAAAGGTTTAATCACTGGATATGAAGTTATTGGAAGAAGCAAAGATAATCAAAGGATTAAACTGAGAACCTCAATGTCACTAGTAAAACAGTAAAAAACAGCAACAAAAATGCACAAGTTATAAACGAACATAAAGATACATAACTACAACTAAAAAAAAAAAGTATGCTTTTATGAGGAATTACCTATTTCCCTATCCAGGAGTACATTAAGAAAACCTAGACCCCTTGTGGCTTCCATAAAGTGAGTTTTCATTTAACCAGTTTACATTTAAGTACATCTGTTTTGCAGCATAGCAGTTTTCAGTAACTCATTTGTAATTAATAATTACAAGAATGCTTTCAGAATAATGTGAGAGCCACGGTTTCATCTATCCTTGGGCAGCCACAATATCTGGAATCCACTTAAAAGAAAATTAAAATAAAAAACCCTTCCCTCTGAACTCTGATGCTGAACTGGCAGCAGGGGTACTTTCAACTCTAACTTAAGAAAATGAAAAATGAGATTGGGGCACCTGGGTGGCTCAGTTGGTTAAGTGTCTGACTTCAGCTTAGGTCATGATCTCACGGTTCGTGGGTTCGAGGCCCACGTTAGGCTCTGTGCTGACAGCTCAGAGCCTGGAGCCTGCTTCGGATTCTGTGTGTCCCCCTCCATCTGTCCCTCCCCCACTCATGCTCTGTCCCTCTCTCTCAAAGATAAACATAACAACAAAAAAAAGAAAATGAAAAATGAGAGCCTGCACCTGGGGCTTCCCTCCCCAGCTACTCCCACCTGCCCTCTATACCATTTAGCAGCTTATGAGCTCAGAGCTCCACTTCCTATCTGTAATGTCTAGCACCCACCAGGCTTGCTCTTTTAATATACCCTATGGTAGTGTCCATTTAAGTTACCCTTAAGGGGTGAGAGGAGGGCACAGGAGTACTTTCCAGGTACTGATTACTATTTTAGAGCTTATCCAATTGCACAGATTTTGAGTACTCAATGCTTTTTCTTTTTCCTACAAGCACTACTTTCACATGCATAATTTTGCTGAACATGAGGTATTTTTCAGGGACATGTATATTACAGCTGAAACACATGTATCTATTTGTGTGGTAGAGACTGAAAAGACAAATTCACCTTACACATTGGTCTCTACATGCAAGGAGCATCCTCTAGCAGGTTCCCTGCAAACCTGGAGTCCTTAAAAATCAGGCAACCACAATGAAATACCACTTCACCCAAGAACGTGGAGAAAATGGGACCCTCATCCACTGCTAATGGGAATGTAAAATGGTCCAGCCACTTTGGAAAAACAGTTTGGTATTTCCTTGAGGTTAAACATAACACTTAGCATATGACCCAGCAATTCCACCTTGAGGTATATACTCAAAAGAAATGAAAACATATGTCCATACACAAACTTGTACACTAATTTTCACAGCAGAATTATTCATAATAATCCCCCACAATGGAAACAACCCAAATGGTCAACTGATAAATGGTTAAATAAAATCATCATAGCAGTATATACATACAATGGAACATCTTTTGACAATAAAAAAAAAAAAATGGAAGTACTGAGGGTGCCTGGGTAACTCAGAAATGTCTTGATTTTGGATCTGGTCGTGATCTCACAGCTCGTGGGTTCCCCGCACTGGGCTCTGTGCTGACAGTGTGGAATGTGCTTGGGATTCTTTCTCTCTTCCCCTCCCTCTACCTCTCCTCTGTTTATGCTCTAAATCTCTCTTTCAAAATAAATAAGTAAATATCTAAATGAAAGAAGCTGCTTGCAAAAGGCCATATATTAGTTTTTGATTCCATTTATATGAAATTGTATAGGCAAATCTACATAGACAAAAAAAAATAGTGGTTTCCAAGAACAGAGGATAGGGAAGATATAAGGAGTGACTGTTAATGAGAATGTGTTTTTTTTTGGGGGGGGGGGGTGGTGATGAAAATGTCCTAAAATTGATCATGGTGATGACTGCACAACTCTTGAATATACTAAAACTTAATGCACACTTTATATGGGCTAACTGTATGGTGTAGGAGTTATATCTCAACAAAACTGTTACCAAAAAACAAGGCAACCAATTTTTTCCTTAAAGATAAAACTGTTATGTATTTCTACTTAGCCTCATTTGGGTCTTAACTGGTTGAGTACTAAGAAAGTTTCTAATAGCCTAACAGACTGAAGATAATTTTAATCCAGATCCTACCCTTTGCACGTCTAACATCCAAGCAAGCACACAGCCCATGGTTCAATTTTCCCCCAAGTCATGGACTATCCTCAGGCCACGTGACTTTTAAGAAAGGGACATAAACAAAAGCTCTGTTAATCTCGTTCAAACAAGATACAAGCATATTATAATGGAAAGCAGATGTCAATAAGTAGTACCTTTTGGCTGGAATCTGGACTAAGAAAACAGCAAGGGGAAAAAGACGCAATCTGGCTTGGAAATGTTGGAATCACCCTCGCCTACAGGAGAAGGAAATGAAAAAACTGAATGAAAAGTACAAACTTTTCTGGTTTCCTTAATGGGCCTCCAATGTAAGCAGGAGAGAAAGAAGCCACTTAATATGCTAAGTGTCTCTCCAAAGACAGAAATTATGCCCTATTTTGGCCCCATTTTGTTTCTTCCATGACAATTGAAATCTCATACCGTAAACATATAGAGCTTAACAAAGACATCTTTTGAAGACCTTCTCACTTCTTGAAAACTATCTACAATGCGCCACATCCCAACCCAAATCATTTCATTGCGCTTTCTGTCCTGACCCTCTTAACTAATTATATTGACGATTCCCCACTAGACATGTGGTGCCCCAAGGATCTTACCTTGTTTCCTTAATTGCCCCACAGTGACAAACGGTCTTGTAGAAAAGGTTCGTTGAATTAAAAAACGACGTATCCCCGTATTAACACTCTTATTCATGCTCCTCCGGGGTCACATATCTAAGGCCAACCATCCCAACAGCTCCTATAATATCACCACATCAGGGAACTACCAAATAAAATGCAAGGAAATTATATGCCTTTCAGTAGATAATTTATTTGGGGGCCCAATTCTGTCTTTAACATTTCTAGGGTATCGCGTTTATCGCTCTCCCTCCCATCTCTTCCTCCACCCATATCCAGTCCCTTTAAGAGTTCGTACCGGAGACCTAACGGCATGCCCCTAGTTTCACCTCAATATTACTCCTACCTCCCCGCTTCGCATTCTCAGGCCTTGCCTCACAAGAACCACGATGGCACCGGATGTAACCGGAGCGTGTTGAAACAGTAGCAAAACTAGACCATAAACAACTAAATCCACTAAGCACCCTGGAACAGAGAGGAGGAGCCGTCAAATGCTCGTCTTAATGTTCTAGGCTCTTCCGATTGGCTGCAGCGACGCGACGTGGCCTGTGATTGGTCACGGCGTCAAGCGCAGCGCCCACGAAGAGGAAGAGTAGGAGTCTTGCACCTTAAGAGCCCGCCTTTTCCGACAAATAAAGGTCGTAGCCGCCGAATCCACGGGCGGAGCTAAATTTATCACGATTAATGCTGTCGTAGGACCACCCAAAGTGGAGCCCCACGTAGCAAGAAGATGACCCGAAGTTGCTCGGCAGTTGGCTGCAGCACCCGGGACACCGTGCTGAGCCGGGAGCGCGGCCTCTCCTTCCACCAGTGCGTGAGAGCAGCCTCCGGCTGTCTAACTCCCAGCACGGCCTGGCGGGCAGTAGGCCAGGGTGGGGCGGGGCCGGGCTTGCGTTGCGCCGTTGACGTGACGTGGCGTGACGTGCGTAGCGTGGGGGAAAGGAACGAGGGACCTTTGAGAATTGGTGTTTTTCCTGTCTTTGCGGCTTAGCGTGTACCTCCAAATTGCTGATTCTTTCTTGTTGCCTACCGCTTGCCTAATGGCGTTTAGCAAGGGTTTTTCGAAAGGAGTCCTGCTTCTTTTCGGTCGTCTTACTATTTGACGTGAGGAGATGGGAAGGGTGGACAGTTTGGGAGAACTGTTGAAGGCGTTCGATTCCATTAGAGTTGTGTGGCTTACCCAGGAACAGGAGTACAGGTGGATTTTCACGAATACTGCCTGTTACTGCAAGTTATTTAGTAGAATTGGCTGAGCTCCACAAGGCCGGTCCTATTCTGGCTGGATCTGGTCATGGCAAGGAAGGTACATTGGCTCAAGAGTGGGGTGGGTTTTCAGACCAGTCTAATTCGAACCCACGTCTATAGTCCATCCATGACATACAGTTGATTCAAAGTTCAAGGCACAATGCGAAGTAGAAGAGTGGGTAAAGCAAGATTCTCAAAGACAAAAAGAAACGTACTTCAAAAAGAGGTAGTCTGTTAAGGTAATAGATGTAGAGAGTTAAACCACTGACAAAGGACTTTTATGAGAAAATCAAAAGTAGTTTTACGGGACAGATGGTATTTGAGTTGGACCTTGAACTTAGGTTGTAGAGTGGGGGTGGAAGGAAGATAGCGCTTAAATACGAATAACATGGAAAAATGTAAAGGGGTGGAGAGTGCAGATATCAGAGGAGTGGAAAAAGTATCTTGAAGACATTAAAAAAAAAATGTCAGGTTAAGGAGTTTCAACTCTGTATGGTAGGCCTTTTGTAGTCATTGTTTTGTGTTGTTTTTTAAATAGGGCTGGTTCCTCCACCTAAGCTGTTAGAATTGTATCTTGTAACCTTTCTTTTCTTCTCTGGGATTTTCCCCCATCAATTAGTTCCTGTTCGTTTTAAATTGCTCCCTCTACTGATTACTTGCCTAAAGTCGATGAGCATGCTCACATTACTTCCATTTTTAAACAGACACACAAACTCTTGAGTCTGTGTGCACCTCTGCACTACCCTATCACGCTTTCCCTCTATAACAAGGCTCCTGTAAACAGGAACATACACCTATTTTCCTAAGTCCTGTTGACTTTTCAACCTATGGTAGCCAGATCACTACTGCTCTAATGCACTGACAAAGGGTCACCAGTAATGTTGCCAAATCTAAGTGAGCACTTCTAAGTCCTTCTCTTAACCTTCTTTTTTTTTTAAACTTTTAATTATATCGACTGCTCCGTGAAACTCTCATCTTCATTGGCTTTACTGACACACTCTGTCCAGAGTTCTCTCCTTTTCCTCTAATTTTTTTTTTTTTAAATTTTTTGCTGCCCTGCTTTTCCTGTGCCTTCTTAAGATTCTTCAAGCGAGGAAGAATTCATTTATTGCTTTTATTTGTTTTATATATTGAGGACCAAAGTAAGACCTACTTAATTTTAAGAAGAGAGGTGATGCAGTTATTACAGTAGTATACTATGATTCGTCCAGGCTGATTTCTTCCCATTCATTCCATTTTCCTGATTTCTGGAAATGATTTTTCTAAAAATGCAAATTTTATACTAGTTCCCTTAAAAAAGGATTTTAATCCTGGGGCTTTTCAAATGCCTAAAGGCAGAATCCAAACTCCTCTGTGAAGACTTTTCTCCAATACCTGTCTTCCAACCTGAATTTAATTTCCTCTGTATTTCTGTTATTTTTTATGTGTGCTAAATTAAACACATGCCCTTATGTATGAATGGGAGGGAATAATCTTTATCTTCCTATGCCTAGGAAGTTGTAAGGAATGCAGAAGAAGGTAGAGACAGGAAAAGGAGTTAGAATACTATGGTGTTAATCGTAGTAACAAAGTTATATTGATCAGAAGTAAGGGTTCAGCAAAAAGGTAATATAGATTGGAAAGAATTTGTCAACTTGCCATCGCCCAAAGGCGTCATCTTCAGACTTCTTGAACATGGAGCCCTCTCCACAAAGAAATTTGAGTACATGCCCTGATAAATGTGTACTGATTTATAAATTACATACACGAAGTGATGAACTAATATGTATTATGAAACACAAAAATTAAGCGATGGGGCAAAACATTATAAAAATAAATTCTAATGTTTTCTTCAAATCTCAGTAGATGAGTGCACACTCCTCTGGTAGCCACTGACCTAAAGGATGGATCCCAAACTTCCTAGCACACACGATCTTTTGTGATCTGGCCTTTAGCCACCCCTCCAGCCCATCCATAACCAGTTCAAGCTACCTCTGTACTCTTCTTTAACCCTCTCCGGTCTACAAATTAACTTATTTTTCAATGCTTTATCAACCAGTAAGATCCTAGTAGTTATTTTATATCTGTGTTTATGCATTTGCTCGGAGTGGCCACTGTCTGCATGGCAAACTCCTGTTGATACATCAGCTCTAGCTCCAATATTGTGTCTTCTGAAGCCTTCCCCAACATCCTCACCACCATTACCAGAATTGTGAAAGATGTTGCAAGGACACAGGCGAGGGGCTTTGGCTGAAAAGCATGAATCAAAATGATTAACGGTGTGGAAACTGTTGTTATAAGAATACTGATACTTGGTCAAACACATAAATGGTTAAATATGAGATGGGACTGGCAAGTTTAAAGAAGTGACAGTTTGATTCATTCTCCTTTTATTGGTGTAAAGAAATTAAACAATTTATTTCATAATCAAATATATGTATGATAACTTGGAAGAGTTTTTGCCTGAATTGTAATGAATTCTATTTTTATACTTTTAGCTATGAAATATTTCAAACACATTAGCAGGCAAAGAATAATACATAACAAACACTGATATACCCATCACTAGAATTAAGCAGATGTTAACATTTTGCCTTGTTTCATTTTTTTTTCTTTTCTGTTAGAAGAGAATTAAGTTACCAGGTATAAAGCTTTACCCCTCAATCCTTTCTCTGTCTCCCCAGAGATGACCACTGTAGAAAGGATTTTCCTAGCCACTTTTTTAGAAAATATGATATGCAGAGAGCCCAAGGTAATTTCTGCCAATAGTGTAAAAAAGGCATAGTTAACAGGAGAGAAAACAGATTCTGCATTAGTGTAAACCAATTCATTATTGTGTATATGAAATGATGATTGGTTTGGGATTTTTCTTTTGCCACAGGTGATTTTAGAATAGGGGAACATGAATTCCAATTTCAACTACTATTTACTGGTGGCTATACTTAGTTCTGGTCTTGGTTTCATCTTCAGTAAAAGGTAACCTGTTCGTGCAGAATTTTTTAAAGACTAAAACAGTTTTAAAAACACACATAAGCACTGGGGCGCCTGGCTGGCTCAGTAGGAAAAGCATGTGGCTCTTGATCTCAGAGTCATGAGTTTGAGCCCCATGTTGGGTGTAGAGATTACTTAAATAAACTTTAAAACGTATGCACACCCACACACGTAAAAATAGCACAAGGTAAATGCTTTAAAAGTAGTATCAATTATTATTACCAATTTAATTTTGTACAGAATTCAAATTAGTCATGCTTGTTAGACTACAATATTTTTCAAGCCTTTCATGGTGTGTTATGCATAGGAAATATTTAATACTTAGGGCAAACCAACAAAGCTGTTTGGGACTGGCCTGTAATACCTACTTCAAAGGCTCCAAGTGGCCCAGGCCATTCCATGAGATAAGGGGATTGATGGCTGTAGTGAGCAGGCATGCCAGTTGGGAAACCGCATCAGAGGATCAGGCTAGTAATGTAACTTGGTGGACTGGCCAACTTTTTACTGTCCTTTGCATGGTTAGAGACTACGCCCCATCTGTGGAAAAGCTGCCTCACAAACGTGCCATTAGTTAAAAGAATTCAGTAAAAAGACATAGATTTGCCTCACCTTTATTAGAAAAACAGTTTCCTCTTGATCAAGTGGCGTCATCTTCCTGGAACAATAAAATGAAAGTCTTGAAAGTGGAATTGTTGTTCCTAGGAAAGAACAAACTCTGGGTAGCACTTTACCATTTACAAAGTGCTTTTGAATGCATTTGTCACCTTGTGCACTCTTAACTACAACCCTGTGAGGCAGCTGAGAGATTGAGACGTGTCTATTAAAGGTAATTGAAGGTTAAGTACAGATTTTCCAATTCAGTATTCTTTCTCAAGGTGATTGAGAGAATATCTCAGAAGTATGTTTTACCATTCTGCTATATTTCCCCAACAATGAGCTGAGGACATTAAAATTTTCACTAGTTTCAATTCCTAACAACCATATGCTTTAAAACCCAAGTTAAAATATACAAAATTCACACAGCTGCCTGTAGATCTGTCTCCAAGGTAAATCAAGGGAGAGGGTGCAGAAAGAGTAGTTTTGTGATCCCCCCCCCCAACAAATTTCTAAACATAGTAATTTGGCTAGGATTAAAAAGAGAGAAACACGAGGTAATTTTTGTATTCAAGGCTAGGAAAAAGTGGTGCCTTTCATTTTTTTTTTTTATTTTTTTTAAAAATTTTTTTTTTCAACGTTTTTTATTTATTTTTGGGACAGAGAGAAACAGAGCATGAACGGGGGAGGGGCAGAGAGAGAGGGAGACACAGAATCGGAAACAGGCTCCAGGCTCCGAGCCATCAGCCCAGAGCCTGACGCGGGGCTCGAACTCACGGACCGCGAGATCGTGACCTGGCTGAAGTCGGACGCTTAACCGACTACGCCACCCAGGCGCCCCAAAAGTGGTGCCTTTCAAAACAAAAGAGGAAAATTGAGTGTGGGAAATGTACTTACTTGTTTTCTACTGCTGAGTAACAAATTTCTTCAAAATGCAGTAGAAACATGATCTCACAAATTTCTGAGGGTAGGAATCCGGGAGTGAATTAACTGGGTGTTACAGGCTGTCTCATAAGGTAGTAAAATGTTAGCCAACACTAGAATGTTCTGAACACTTGATGAGGCTGAAGGGTGCAGTTTCAGAAAGACTCATGTGGCCTTTAGTGGGGAAGCCTGTTTCTTGCCCAGTGGACATATTTCTGCAGGACTGCTTCTCACATGGCAGAGAAATTTTCCCAGAGAAAAACCATTGAATAGAGGGAGCAAGTACCTTTTATTACTTAGTCTTATTGCCCGTTGTCTCTTCTCCTTTTTTTTTTTTTTTTTTTTTTTTTTTTTGTATTTCTTAGAAGCAAATCACTAACCCTAGCCCACACTCAAGGGGAAGGAAATTAGGCTCCACCCCTTGAAAGGAATAGAAATAAAGAATTTGGGGACATAGTTTAAAAACACACATACTAAATTTGAGCAGATTCCGTTAATGTAGTCAGTGAAGACAAAATGTAGGATATTTAATATGAGAATTACCCTCAGAAATTAAAGCAAATGAGCTCACTTAGATACTGAACTCTTGGATTCAAAAAATCAAAGAACTTGGAAATCAGATTAAGTAAGTTTAATTGGACTTGATGTTTATACGAAGCAGTTAAATAATAAATGGGTTTATGTAATAAATACTGTAGTATTACCATATTTTCATGTTAATGGAACTTTAATATGATTGCTGTAGATTTCCAACTGATACCATACAGCGCTCAAAATGGATCAGGGCTGTTAATCGTGTGGACCCCAGAAGCAAAAAGATTTGGATCCCAGGACCAGGTGCTATACTATGTTCCAAACATTTTCAAGAAAGTGACTTTGAGTCATATGGCATAAGAAGAAAGCTGAAAAAAGGAGCTGTGCCTTCTGTTTCTCTATACAAGGTACTTAAATCTAGGTGTAAACAAAACTAAATTCTACAGAGCCTTTAAAAACCAAGATACCTCACATTATAGCTAGAATTTACAAAGATTTAAAAAAAAAATCCTAAATCTTAAAATAAATCCATTAATAGATTTTAAATGTGTAGAAAACTAGGTTTTTGGTTTTTGGTTTTTAATCTATATGTAATATTAGTAATTCTGCTTTGAAGTTTTTAAGGTATATAAATGCAAATCATTTTCTAGACCCACATAAAGATTACTAAATTGATCACAAAAATTAACTAGTAGATGCCTTAGAATTCAGGCTTTTGTTTGACACAGTTTCCATAATACTTAGAAATTATGCCTTTTTCGGGCCCCTCCCAGTAATGTTGATCTTGACCAAAAATATACCTAATTGTTAGCATTGATATAGAGAGGTATCTATGGAAAATAGAGGGCTTTCTATGAATCAGTCACCAGGATTAGTGTTACGTTCTTCGGTTTCTTTTTTTATGTTATCCTTTTACCTTTTGGCCACATTGCTGTACGCACTCCTCGCTGCACAGTCTGCAGTAGTCCTCTAGCTGTTCTCTGCTGATGCTATCCTTGCCTCCTCTTATCCATTGGAATTTCCTTTCGATATTGTTTTCTCTCATTCCTGTATTCAGAAGAATGTCATTGGTGTCAAATCCAAACTCCTAAGCTCTAAGAGCTTCCTTTTAATTGTGCATTTCTAACTGCTCCAAATTCTCTTTTCAAACCACATTTACTAACTTCTGTATATGTGATAAATTGACTAACTTTCATGCTTTTGTAAAATCAATAATAGTTACTATTTATTGAGACCTGCAGTGGTCTAGGCATTGTGCTGGGAGATTTACATAAATTATTCTATTGTATCCTTAAAACAACTCTGTATTATTACAGTTATACAAATGAGGAGAGGAGGGATTGTAGAGGTTTAGTGACAGCTAATAAATGAGGGAGCCATGATTAAACCCAGATTAGTCTCAATTCCAAAGCCCATGCTCTGTCCACTATGCCTTCCTTTTTGCACAAATAATTTTCCTGTCCCCCTCCATTAAATCATGTCATTGCTGTCTTAAAACACTGCTCAAAACTCATTTCCACGAAGCCTTCCCAAATTACCACCTTTCTGTTGTTACTTAAAACATTTCAGAAACTTTCAACATCATGTTAACTTTCGACATCAGGTTACTATTTCTATATGGATGAAAAAAAACCCCAAAAAACTTTAAACCCTGTTCACATTTTCCTATAAATACATTTGAAGAAATTAGAGATTATGACCTTTTTTTTAAAACAACTCTCCACATTAAAGGTGAGTCCTTTGATTTAGTGGTATTTTTATAGACTGCCTTCTGTGTGATCATTTCAAAAATAACCTTAATTTTATATTTCTGTTGTAGGTTCTTCAAGGTGTACACCTTAAAGGTAAAGCAAAACAGAAAATCCTAAAACAGCCACTTCCTGATAATTCTCAAGAGGTTGCTACTGAGGACCACAACTACAGTTTAAAGAGACCTCTGACAATTGGTGCAGAGAAACTGGCTGAGGTGCAACAGATGCTACAAGTGTCCAAAAAAAGACTGGTTTCTGTGAAAAACTACAGGATGATCAAGAAGAGAAAGGGCTTACGACTAATTGATGCACTTGTCGAAGAGAAACTACTTTCTGAAGAAACAGAGTGTCTGCTACGAGCACAGTTTTCAGGTATGATGTTCCCCTTTTCTTTTTTCTTTCTTTCTTTTTTTTTAAAGTTTCTTTTGAAAGAGAGAGTGCGCACATGCACATACACATGTGTGTGGGGAAGAGGCAGAGAGAGAGGAGACACAGAATCCCAAGCAGGCTCTGTGCTGTGCTGTCAGCACAGAGCCCAATGCTGGGCTTGAGCTCATGAACCGTGAGACCATGACACCAAGAGTTAGATGCTTAACTGACTGAATCACCCATTGTTGCCCTGTGATGTTCCCTTATCCTGAAATATCATTAAAGTATTTACTTTGCTGTTGCCTATGAAAACATGCTTTTAGCTGAGACATGAAGTCTCAGGGTAAGCAAAAAGAAGGAAAAGTAATTGCCAAAATCCTTTTATGTATTTCCAGTTTTAAAAGTAATGTACTTATTACAGGAAAGGCAAAGAAATATATAATGATAAAAGTAACACATAATCCAACTACCCAGAGGTTAGATCATATGGCTTATACCATATACTGTAATTCTCATTTTTTATAAAGCACTTACTTGCTTTACTGCAAATTCTTTTTAAACAATTTAAGTGCTTACATAATTTATCACCGAAGCGTTTTTGCAGTGGAGTCGAACCAGGTAATTTTCCAGTTCCCTTTGAGCTTGAAAATTCTTTGAGTCTCCATATATTATTTTCTAAAATATCCTATGGAAGATATACATGTCCATTGGAAAGACTACCTACTCTTTTCTTTGTGAACCAGCATATTTGAAGAGGGACAGAATAAGTATAGCCAACTTACTCTTTGATGAAAGCCAGCAGAGATTTTGGATTTACATCCTGGTAAAAAATAAGTATGTCTTGTTTCTAGAAAAGAGCAGGTATCTCCAAAGGAGGAGAATATTTTGTGTTTTTCCAGGAGGGGAACAGAGGTGTAATAAACAGGGATCCCCACCAGGAACAGAGGATTTTTTTTCCCCTCAAGGTAGGCAAGGTCATCTGTTCAATTTGAATAGCATCCTATTGCCGGAATTATTTCTTGTGTCTCATTTGTACCCTCAGATAAATAGTAACCAGGAAGCAAAATAAATAAATGTGCTCGTAATCCAGAGACTTAATTTTATCCAGTTATTTTATCTTCTTCCCTGTTTCTCTAAAATTCTCCACTTAGGCTGCCAATGAATAATAAAACATAGTGATTCAAGTTGAAACTTTCTTCTTCCGTCTTTTGAGTGAAACGATCCAGGATGAGCAGGATAAATTGGTCAAGAGGTCCTAAGATTGGATATTAGCCTTTGAAACAAACTCAGTTAAACTGTGATGGTATTTGTATTTTGATGGCCACTGCTTTTTATATCCAAATGCTATGATCTGTACCTTAGAATGTTACTGTACACCTTCTTCACCACAAAGAATAAATAAATTTATTTTAACAGATTTTAAGTGGGAATTGTATAACTGGAGAGAAACAGCTGAGTACTCCACAGAAATGAAACAGTTTGCATGTACACTCTACTTGTGCAGTAGCAAAGTCTATGATTATGTAAGAAAGATTCTCAAGCTGCCTCATTCTTCCATCCTCAGGACGTAAGTGAATTACTTTTTAGATGTTAAATAAACAAGTATTTTATTATTTAATTGCATTTTATGTGTTGAAGCTCTTCGTATTCAGACTCTCATTTATTAGTCCATTTGCTCTTTTTAAAAACTTCTAGTGGTATTTGCATATTATCACAACAGCAGATTTTCACCAACAAAATGAAGGTCTATAATCTGACAAATTTTTTGCATCTTCCAGACAGAGATATTCTCAGTGATAAAATTTGAATCTGAAAATATTGGGATTTCTAATATACTTCAGTAGTTTTAATATCCGACTATCCTAGAAAAATCTACAATAGTTCTAGATTGACACCATTGGTTTGAGGCTAAGCATAAAAATCTGCATTTTTGTTAAACACTGTAGTTGATGCCCAGTGTGGGTTGTTCAGGGAGGAAATTTTGGTAAATAATTTTGTAGGATTTGTGGTCAAAATACACGGATATATTTATAATTCACTTAGTATGAAGCAAATAACTCAGTGACTTTACAGTGATGTCTTATAGTGGTAATGCTCAATTTTTACTGTTTTTTATCACTGGTTTTACAGATGCCTTTTTATTTTTATTTATTTATTTATTTATTGAGCTTAAAAATGACAGAAATATATTGTCTCACACTTCTGGAGGCTAGAAGTCCAAAATCAAGGTATTAGCAGGTTTAGTTCCTTTGGAGGGCTGTGAGCGAGGGGTCTGTTCCAGGCCTCTCTCCTTAACTTGTACTTGGTGGTCTTTCTCCTTGTGTATCCTTACATCATCTTCCCTTATGTATGTGTGCTTCTGTGCCCAAATTTCCTCTTGTTATGAGGACCAGTCTTAGGATTGGGATTCACCCTAATGACCTCGTTTTAATTTGATTACCTCTGTAAAGACTGTATCTCCGGGGCGCCTGGGTGGCGCAGTCGGTTAAGCGTCCGACTTCAGCCAGGTCACGATCTCACGGTCCGTGAGTTCGAGCCCCGCGTCAGGCTCTGGGCTGATGGCTCGGAGCCTGGAGCCTGTTTCTGATTCTGTGTCTCCCTCTCTCTCTGCCCCTCCCCCGTTCATGCTCTGTCTCTGTCTGTCCCATAAATAAATAAAAACGTTGAAAAAAAAAATTAAAAAAAAAAAAAAAAAGACTATCTCCAAATAAGGACACTCTGAGGTACTGCGAATTAGGATTCCAATATATCTTTTTTGAGGGACACAATTCAGCCCATAACAGTCACTTTCCTGATGCATAGGCCTCCCCATTACCTACAGACCAGAGGCTTGACTCCTTCCTGTGGTTTATTGAGCCTCCCGTGGCGCGGCCCCTGCTAAGCTCGGAGGCTCATCTCTGGCCTCCCTCCCTGCCCTTTAGCATTCCATGCTCCAATTGTAAGGCACTCCTTAATGGCCTCTTTTTGCCACCAGGACTTACTATTCCCTGTGCCTGAAATGCCCATTCTCTCTCTTTATTGGTCCTAGTGATTACTCCTCAGTCTTCAGGCTCAAATTAGACCTCCTTTCAGAAGCCTGGCTTGCTGTAAGTGCTCCTCTCACACACATAAGAACTGAATCATAGTTCTTTTTTTCTTTTAATGTTTGTTTATTTTTTTTTTGAGGGAGGGGGGAGAGAGAGAGGGGGGTACAGAAGATCTGCACTTGATCTTAGCCAAAAGGCTGAGAAGCCATGAGAGGTACAGAGAATCTGAAGTGGGCTCTGTGCTAACAGCAGAGAATCTGATGCAAGGCTCAAACCCACGAACCATGAGATAATGATGTGAGCCGAAGTCGGATGCTTAACCGACTGAGCCACCGAGGCACCCCAGACCTGAATCATAGTTCTTAAAACACTGTCTTCCCCACTGGACCATGAGCTGCCCAAGTATGAGGTGCATCTGGTTTTTTGTTACACTACCACTGAACCCCCAACTCTGCATTGTACCTGAAGCATTAAATGGTCCCTTGATAAATATTTGTAGAAAGAAAGAATGCCTGAATGGTCATTTAGCATTTTGAGTAGATGGAAGGAGGAAATGCAGTGGACCTTAAGTCACTTTCTGAAGAGCAGTACTCCATTTAATTCAGTGCAGGTGGGACAGAGGCCAGCCAGGAGTAGCATCATCTCTCTCTCCTGGAAGGTACTTCTTGGTTTCTTATTACTTCAACTTTAAAACAGATTCAGGGGTTCTGAACTGGAGAAACTCTAAGAAAGCACATAGCCCACCATCCGCTGACCCCACCCATTTAAAGAAGGGGGAAATTGAGGGCTGGTAGGCAGTAGGACCTTAATTATATAAGGGAACAAGAATTCCTGGCCCCCCAAAGGTCCTTCTGGCTGGACTAAATCAAACTGACATGAAACTGATTAACAGGAGAAAATTAAATTTAATAGCTGTACATACAGGGAATCCACATAGACATGGAAATTCCAAAGACAGACAAAAGAGGTATATATGTCATTCTGAACTAAGGAGATACAGGGATAGGGGTCTGGGATTTCAGAGGAAAGGCATGCACTTCACAGGGCAATAAGTGAAGCAGATGTTTGGTAATTAGATGTTTGCTCTACCATACATTTTGTTCACTTAGATAAAATCTATCTCTGTTAATAACTCTTATTCTGGGAAAGCCTCCCCAGTTTAGATTATTCTGTGTGGTTAGGAAGGGATAAAAGTTTCTCTTGAGTCTGCAGGGTCTCAAATGACTTCAACTCAAAATAATCCACATGCCAGGGTATCTGGGAGGCTCAGTCGGTTAAACATCTGACTCTTGATTTCAGCTCTGGTCATGATCTCAGGGTTCACTTTGTGGGATCAAGCCCCACTTTGGCTTAGGCTCCATGCTGACAACACAGAGCCTGCTTGGGATTCTCTCCCTCCCTCTCTCTGCCCCCCCTGCTCGTGGGCTCGCTCTCTCAAATAACAAATAATCCACATGCCAGAGCAGCACATTCTGGGGATCCTGTCCTGAACCCCTTCAATTATGATATTGTTGTTTTCCATTTTGGGTAAAACATCTGTTTTATTTTCTAATGGAGATATAATTAATGTATAACACTTTATTTGATTTGGGTGTATAACAGGTATCCAGTATTTGTATCTATTACAAAAAGATCACCACACTGTCTAGTTAATATCCATTCCACAGTTAAAATTACTTTTTTCTTACAATGAGAACTTTCAAGATCTACTCTCTTAGCAACTTTCTTTTTTTATTTAAAAAAAAATTTTTAATGTTTATTTTTGAGAGACAGAGAGAGAGAGAGAGGGACACCACAAGCAGGGGAGGGACAGAGAGAGAGAGAGAGAGAGGGAGACACAGAATCTGAAATAGACTCCAGGCTCTGAGCTGGCAGCACAGAGCCTGATGTGGGGCTTGATCTCTGGGAATGGCGAAATCATGACTTGAGCAGAAGTCAGACGCTTAACCGACTGAGCCACCCAGGTCCCCCTCTTAGCAACTTTAAAATGCATGATACAGTATTATTAACCATAGTCACAATGCTGTATATTACATCTTCTTTTTAAAAATGATTAACTTTCCTCCACATACTATTAAAGTAATACTAATAAAAAATTTGGAAGTGAGAGAAAAGAATGGAAAATTCATTAATTGTTTATCTACATTATATGTCAACAATTATTAACATTTAGGGAATTTGCTTCCAGTCTTGTTTCTGTGCTTAGATTTGCTAGCTTTTTTTTTTACATAGTTAATGATCTTTAATAGCTGCATAATATCAGGTAGTTGTACCCCATTTATCCGGGGCATTCTCCAACTATTGGACATTTATATTGTTTCCGTTTTTGATTGTAGTGACCAGAAACATTTGGATAGTTGTGTATAGGCTTATTCACTCTCTTCTATCATCTGATTTTACTATTTAGGCCAGATATTATTCTTATTTATAAATGTCTACTTTTTGCTAGGCAGGAGATGTGTTTATAGATACTGTGTTGATATATCCCCCTTTCTACCTTTTGTTAGTCAAATTTTCTCTTTACTGGTTTTAAAGCACTGCTTATGGATTTTGCCCTGTGGTTTGTGTGAGACATTTCTTCATTTCCTGTAGTTCTCCATTAACTTCTGGATTAAATAGTCTCTGGCAATTCCAGCTCACACTGATCTTTTCTCTCTTTATGTCCATTTTGTATTTTTGCTATGACGCCATCTATTCAGTATAATTTTAGTACTCAAAAAATTGTTTATTTCTTTGGGTACTTTGTCTGAAACTAAAATACCTTGTTTAATATGATAGTAATACATGCTTGTTATAAAACATTCAGACAATATGTAAGTATGTAAATACTGGAAAATGAAAAAGGTTTATAGACCTTTTCCAGACCATTCCCCTAATTCCCAAGATAACTGCTATTAGTGGTTTGGTATATATTCTCTCAGACATTAAAAAAACATATATCCACAAAATTTTGTGTTAATGTCTATCTATTACTCTCATATATTGGAAGTATCTAGATTTTATCTTGACAGTTCTGAATAGTCAAACATATTCACATTTGATTACATTTCTGTTTATTTTTTTATTAAAAAACATATATCTTTTTAACACACCTCTGCTTATGTATTACATTTATAATCATTATAGTTAATATTTATTTGGTAAATTTATTTATTGGTCAGGAGTGGCCAGTGAGGCAGGAGAAAAACCAGGAGATGTGATGGCCTGGAAGCCAAGTGTAGAAAGTATCTCAAGGAGATAGTCCACTCTGTCCCTGCTGCTGGGAGATCAAGTAAGAGGAGGACAAAATTGACCATTGGATTTTGCAAGATGGAGGTCATTGATGACATTGACAAAAGCAGTTGCAGTGGAGTGGTAGAGAGGTAGGCCTGGCCAAAGTGGGAATAAGGAAGACTGGAAGCCTAAGAAGCAGAAACAATGATTAAGCACTCCTTCAAGGAGTTTTGCTATGAAGGGAGCAGAGAAATGGGTCTGTGGGTAGAAAGGAGCATAGATGAAAGGGAGGGCACCTGTTGAGAGGGCACTTGTTCCAGCATGTTTGCATGCTTAAGGGAATGGTCTGGTAGAGAGGAGAGCTGGTGGTGCATAAGAGAAGGGATAACTGTGGGGGATAATTTCTAACACCATTGTGGAGAGAGGTTTAGCCTTAATTAGGAGTAGGGACAATTCATTCATTTAAACAGGAAGAGGCAGAGACACAGATTCAATAGGTTAGCAGATTTAGTGGTAGGAAAATGAGTTTTTATTGGATTGCTTCTGTTTTTCTCAGTGACATAAAGATAATAGCAGAGAATTGGGGAAGCAGAGATAAGTTTGGGGAGAGGGGTGCCTGGGTGGCTCAGTTGGTTAAGCGTCCGACTCTTGGTTTCAGCTCAGGTCATGATCTCATGGTTTCATGAGTTCAAGCCCTGCCATCAGGCTCTGTGCTGGATTCTCCCTCCCTCCCTCTCTCTGTCCCTCTCCTGCTCACGCTGTCTCTCTCAAAAATAAATTTTAAAACTTTAAAAAAAAAGCTTGAGGAGAAAAGAGACAATTTGAATAGTTGTTTTTCCTCCTGTGATGATGGAGAAACAGTTATATGGTAAACAATTAGATGATGACAGACCAAGCTAAACTCATATTTTTGAAAACCCTTGTTCAGTGAGACAGGTACCTGCTTCACTAATTTCAACTTGTCATATCTTTTTCTAATTATTAGCCACTATCAGTCACCTCTGTAATTTTCTTTGTGTTGATGTTGGATCTTTATCAGTTCTCTCTTGAATTCTCTATGTCTAGAACCTTCCCAGAGCTGTACTTCTTATAATTCCAGTTCTTTGGGTCTTTAAGGTAGTTTGTTTTTACATATCTTTTGTAAGAATGTCATAACATCCTCAGCCTTCCTTATCATAACAGTGATATATATGGTATGATCTTAGTAGATTTTCTCTGTCTCTAATTTTCTATTTAGGTTTTCATTGCAATTAATAAATTAGCTCCCTCTATAGGTAAGATGATGTGAGAGATTCAAAGGTAAACAAGACCATGGGAGGAGCTAAGAGTCTTTTTTTATTGTTGTTTTTTAATGTTATTTTGGAAAAGAAAAAAGAGTGCCAGTGGACCTAATAGTCTTAAAGAAAAACACTCCTCGGCACGATGGCTCTTCAGCCTTGTATTTTTTCAGGCAGAGTTTTAAGCCACCCAACTGACTCCTTATAATCACTCTGTAACTAAGCTATTGTTCAATTTAAAATATCCTCTTGGGGCGCCTGGTTGGCTCAGTTGGTTAAACATCAACTCTTGATTTTGATTCAGGTCATGATCTCACAGTTGTGAGTTTGAGTCCCACTTTCGGCTCCGTGCTGCTGGTGCAGAGGCTGCTTGGGATTCTCTCCCTCCCTCCCTCTTTCCCTCTCTCTCTCTCTCAAAATAAATAAACAAGACATTTAAAAAATACCATTTAGATATCTATTTAAAAATCAAGCTCAAAGAACAAGCTTTTTTAAAAAGCCTATTTAAAATAAAAACTTTGGGCTTCTTGCCTAGTCATTGAGCTGCTGACTTCGCTCAGGGTCACGCATCTCACAATCCGGGTGAGTTCAGCCCCTCCCCCGGCTGGGTTTCAGGGCGGACAGCTCAGAGCCTGAGCCTGTTTCTCGATTCTGTGTCTCCCCTCTGACCCTCCCCCGTTCATGCTCTGTCTCTCTCTGTCTCAAAAATAAATGTTAAAAAATAAATAAATAAAAAATAAATAAATAAAATAAAGTAAAATGTGTATAGGGCTTGGTGATTTTAAAGAGAGTTCAATTCAGTGCCAGGTCACGACATTCACAGCTCTGAATTTATATTGTAAGTGCCTCTGTGTGCTGACAGGAGCCTGGAAGTTTGTTAGATTTGGGAAATTTCTCTTTCTTCAGCTCTTCTCAAGATAAAGTTTCTTAAGTTCTCTGTCTCAAAAATAAATAAAAACATTAAAAAAAATTCTTTTTTAAATAAAAACTTTTTTTTTTTAATTTTTTTTTTTTCAACGTTTTATTTATTTTGGGACACAGCTTAGAGACAGAGCATGAACGGGAAGAGAGGTGGGAGACATACACAGAATCGAAATAGGCTCAGGTTTCTGAGCCATCAAACAGAGCCTGATGCGGGCTCGAACTCACGGAGCGCGAGATCGTGACCTGGCTGAAGTTGGACGCTTAACCGACTGCGCCACCCAGGCGCCCCAAATAAAAACTTTTACATAGAGGCATTAAGTAGTTTCATAATATACTGACTCCATGTGCAGCACAGCATCTTTGGTGTTCATTTGAGAGTCAGTCCTAATGCAAGAAAAAAATTTAAACAATTAAAATTTGGAGACCCGTTTGCAAAGGACATTCCATATACTACTGGGCTGTAGCACCCTGGTGGGTAACCACTGTCCTATTTTCTCATTATCTTACTGTTTCATCCTATTTTAAAATATAAACAACTGATTAATACATTTGTCTCTTAAATAGGTTATAAGTAGCTTAAAATTGATGTCTTTTGCATGCTGTGTGTTTTTCAAACCCATTAGTGCATCTTGAAATCAATTCAGTGGGTCATAATTGGCATTATACACACACATATGTTCCATATATGTGTGCATGGCACGTAATGAGGGTAAATTTCATTTATGGAACTTTTAGTTTGCGGCAAAGTATGTGGAAAGCCCTGTCCTGAAATACTTAGGGCGAGGTACATTAAAATCTCAATTAGAGGCCTGCTGTCCAGGAAGAAACCTTGGCAGTCCAGAATATAGCCCCCAAGTCAGAAATATAACATCCCAAAAAGTCATTTGAGTTACAGAAGTACTTTAGCTAAGATGAACACGTCAGTCTCTACTAGAGAATCCAATTTGTCTTATTTCAGATAGTTCTTAAACTTGGCTATTGTCTCTCCTGACCCTACAGCAAATTAGAGGTAAATTAGAACTGAGTGAAAAGGATTCTGAAGATAGCCACTAACAGTAATTGGAAAGCATAACCAGTATGGAAAGGTCAGGGACACTGCAAAGGAACTCCTAAGGTAGTAGTGTATGTACTTTGTGCAGGGCAGACAGATGCAGACGCCTTCATTGTTCCTTGAGGGCACAATTTGAGGTCGCAAGGAGCGGTGAGAAAAGCACTGTCAGGACACCGGGAAAGTTGGGCTTCACACTTGTATGCAGCTAGCAGCACAGCAAGGGCTGTGCGGCTTCAGTTCTGCCTCTGTCCCCGTTTCCCAATCTCTAAAATGAGGTAGATGTGATAGATGTTCTCAAAGTTTCCTTCCCCTTCAACCGTTTTCTCATTTCATTGAATTTACAGGTAAGACTGGTTTATGATCTAAACACGAAAGTTACAACAAACCGGGTAATTGTTTTGTATATATCTTAAAGAAGTAGATGAGCAATGGTGTATTGAAATACTTACTTTGTGTCTAAGCTTCTCTGTTATCTTAGTGTTTTATGGTAACTATTTGAATAGATGCTTGAAAATGTCCATAGAATTTGGCTACTTATATTTGGCTGTGTTTCTATAGGGATCTGAAGCAACTTAGCAGCAGTTAAGGTATTTTTTCCTTTTTTTTTTTTAATTTCTTCATTTAGTTTTATATATATATATATATTTTTTTTTATATTTCCCAGATGGTTATCCAAATGCAAACCCAGTCCAGGCTTCAACAGCAACATTTTTTCTTTTCTTCAGCGAAGAGTAGAGAACGGAGACCAGCTCTACCAGTATTGTTCACTGATAATAAAAGGCATATCTCTCAAGCAACAACTTCAGTGGGACCCCAGCAGTCACCATTTGCAAGGGTTTATGGACTTTGGCCTCGGCATACTTGATGCTGATGAAACGCCCCTTGCATCCGAAACTATTTTGTTAATGGCCGTGGGTATTTCTGGTCACTGGAGAACGCCTCTTGGTTATTTTTTTGTTAACAGGGCATCTGGATATTTGCAGGCTCAGCTGCTTCGTCTTACCATTGGCAAACTAAGTGACATAGGGATCACGGTTTTGGCCGTCACCTCTGATGCTACAGCTCACAGCGTTCAGATGGCAAAAGCGTTGGGAATACATATTGACGGAGACAACATGAAGTGTACATTTCAGCATCCCTCATCTTCTAGTCAACAGATTGCATACTTCTTTGATTCTTGCCACTTGCTCAGATTAATAAGAAATGCATTTCAGAATTTTCAAAGCATTCAGTTTATTAATGGCACGGCACATTGGCAGCACCTTGTGGACTTAGTAGCCCTGGGGGACCAGGAATTAGCAAACATAGAAAGACTCCCAAGAAAACTTGCAAATTTGAAAAACCACGTGCTGAAGACGAACTGTGCTGCCCAGCTGTTCAGTGAGAGTGTGGCCAGCGCGTTGGAGTGCTTGCTATCGTTAGGCCTGCCTCCTTTTCAAAACTGTATTGGTACCGTCCATTTTTTACGCTTAATTAACAACCTGTTTGACATTTTTAATAGTAGGAACTGTTACGGAAAGGGACTTAAAGGACCTCTACTGCCTGAAACTTATAGTAAAATTAATCGCGTGTTAATTGAAGCCAAGACAATCTTTGTTACATTATCTGACGCTAGCAATAATCAAATAATTAAAGGTAAGCGAAAACTAGGATTCCTGGGATTTTTGCTTAATGCTGAGAGCCTAAAATGGCTCTATCAGAATTACATTTTCCCAAAGGTCATGCCTTTTCCATATCTTCTGACTTATAAATTCAGTCAAGATCATCTGGAATTATTTCTCAAGATGCTTAGACAGGTATTAGTAACCGGTTCTAACCCTACCTGTATGGCATTCCAGAAAGCTTACCATAATTTGGAGACCAGATACAGATCACAAGACGAAGCCTTTCTAAGTGAAGTAAGCATCCTTGACATTTCAATTGCTCGAAGGACAGACTTGGCCCTTTGGACCGTTCAGCGTCAGTATGGCGTCAGCGGCATAAAGACTCTTTTTCACAAAGAGGATATTTGCCGAGACTGGTCTAATTGTTCGCTAAGTGAGGCGTTACTAGATCTGTCAGATCACAGGCAAAAACTCATCTGTTGTGCCAGTTATGTTGCAAATAAGTTATCAGCTCTTTTAACTTGTGAGGAGTGCATCAGTGCACTGTATGCATCAGATCTCAAGGTTGCTAAAATTGGGTCACTGTTGTGTGTTAAAAAGAAGAATGGTTTACATTTCCCTTCACAAAGTCTTTGTCAAGTCATAAATATTTGTGAGCGAGTTGTAAGAACCCATTCAAGAATGACAGTCTATGAACTACTTCCTAAACAGAGAGAATTGTATCTTCAGCAGAAAATATTATGTGAGCTTTCTGGGCATATTTATCTTTTTGTAGATTTAGATGAACATCTCTTTGACGGAGAAGTGTGTGCCATCAATCACTTTGTAAAGTTACTAAAGGATATAATAATCTGTTTCTTAAAGATCAGAGGTAAAGATGCAGCTCAGTACTCTTTAAAACACCATTCAGAAAGAATTGAAATGAAAACTTTGCCAAGAATACACTGGTCATCATTACAGGATTACAGATGTTCAAGTTTTGCTAATACCAATAAATGCAGGCATTTGTTAAGTAATGATGGATATCCATTCAAATGAGGGACCTAAAATATATTAAAATTTTCATGAAAAATTATTGGTCAACATTTAAAGTTCAACCTACCATATTTTATAAATTGACCATTCTGCACAGTTGACAAGTTTGTAATACTAGGATTTCTAATTATGCGTATTATAAAATCTGCTTGTACTTGGTATGGTTTGCAACATTTCAGTTACTCGGAATGTAGAACGCAGTTAAGTCAGTAGGAACAGACCAGCCAACAGATGCTGCCTTTGAATATACTACTATAAGACTGAGTAGTGTGATTGGACATACTTTTTAACTTGTTCAGTCTACTTTAAAACAAGAAAGAATAACAACAACTAAGAGTCATTAAAACATTGACTTCTTTTATAAATAGACTACATTCCCTAAAAGAGCTTTGGTTTACAGCTCTTAAGAATGTTGACAGGAAAAAAAAAAAAAAAAAAAAAAAAAAAAAAGGAATATAAAACCTTGGATGTAATTTTTACTTACATGTGAAAATCTAGATGTGGTTTGAAAATTAGGCTGAGTTAAAATATCAAATACCACAAAATCCCTTTGCCAGGGTACCCTAAAATGGGAATACTTAGGCTTTATCGGGCAGAAGGTAAGCACATGTGCCATGAGATGGTTCCGTGTGCTGCAGCGAAGTTGGGGAATGTACTCTGAGAAGTAAATAGGGGATCTCATTTTCACAATCCATTGTCCTTGGACTTCAAAATACTACTTTTGAATAATAGAGTGGATACTTACTTGACTCCACTGGAAGAGCCCAATGCTCATCAGAGAATGAGGAGAAGCCTTATTTCAAGCTCTTCTGAAGTGTCCTTGTGTTTTGCATGGAGGCTGAAATATATTTTCAGTGTTGAATGAATAAAGGGACTTCACACCATCCAATTAATAAATAGAAAAAGATGGGCAGTTGAGACAGTGGTTATGAAAATATTTGTCTTAATTATATGATTAGTTTTTTCAGAAATTTAGGAGAAGCTTAAATGATCTGAAGATGGAAACATACCTAAGGACAATTTTCTCCATTCTGTCACACCCAGACTTGAAAAGATGAGTAGAAAAACGTAGGTATATGTTGTACTTTCACATATGAGGAGTGTTTTAAATGGATAAAAGAAGAAACAAGCGCATGATTCCCCTATGTGTGTAAAACATCTACTCTTTGTATGTGAATAGTCATGAAGTATAATTAATATGAAAACTTAAAATTGCAAAAGATTAATGACTAGACAAAACTTGAGTTTTATTAACTGAAATTCTCCTTAAATTATATATTTTGATATATTTGTTTTGTTCTACCTCAAACAAAGGTTTAAGTTTGGAGATGTAACCAGAGTTGTACTAAATTTTATGTAAGAGCTATCGCTGAGAAGTCTCAATAGTGTGGGTTGTATTTGCAATAGAATTTTAGATACACCAGGATGAATCTTATTTAAAATAATCCTACTTGTAAATCACCACCTTTAACTTATTGCTTATATAAATCCAAGTTTTGTCCAGATCTTTACTTAAAACTAGGTTTGTATCTGTAGGTGTCTCATGTTCTTTGCTGTTGCATTTTACTAATGTACTAGTATATTCTGTAGTTTAATTAGTGTTTTGCACTATTTGAGTGCTGGATAAATTGGACAAATATTGACAACAGGAATATTTCCTTTACTGCCTTTTTAAAATTTTTTTAACGTTTTTATTCATTTTTGAGAGACAGACTGTGAGCAGGGTGGGGCAGAGAGAGGGAGGGAGACACAGAATCCAAAGTAGGCTCCAGGCTCTGAGCTGTCAGCACAGAGCCCGACGCAGGGCCTGAACCCATGAACTGTAAGATCGTGACATGAGCTGAAGTCCGACCCTTAACTGACTGAACCACCCAGGCACCCCTCCTTCACTGCTTTTAACAGTTAATTGCTCTTGCCTTAGTGAAAGTATTTCTTTTTTTTTTTTTTTATTTTTTTTTTAATGTTTTATTTATTTTTGAGACAGAGAGAGACAGAGCATGAATGGGGGAGGGTCAGAGAGAGGGAGACACAGAATCGGAAACAGGCTCCAGGCTCTGAGCCATCAGCCCAGAGCCCGACGCGGGGCTGGAACTCCTGGACCGCGAGATCGTGACCTGAGTCGAAGTCGGACGCTTAACCGACTGAGCCACCCAGGCGCCCCTTAGTGAAAGTATTTCAAGTCTGATATCAAGTTTACTTAACATGATATGCTTTATGGCGAATTTTTAAAATAAATATTCATATTTGATGAGGGTAATTTACTTTATAATTTCCACTTAGCACCTTTGTCCTTTTTTCGTCAGAGAAAAACATTCTCTTTTAGAAATTTATCCTTCCTATGTTTCAACACATAGAGCAGGAACAACTGGATATCCACATGCAAAAGTATTAACTCTAAATGGGTCAAAGACCTAAATGTAATAGGTAAAAATATAAAACTCTTAGAAGAAAAGAGAGCAAATCTTTGAGACTTAGATTAGGCATTAGTTTCTTAAATATGACACCAAAAACATGAACAACAAAAAAAAAAATTGGACTTCACCAAAAAAACTTTTACTTCGGAGGACACTGTCAAGAGACAACCCACAGAATGGGAGAAAATTTTTACTACTCACACATCTGATAAAGGACTTGTATCTAGGATATACAAAGAACTCCTATAACTCAATAATGAAGGACAAATAACCCAGTTTGAAAAATGGGTAAAGAATGTAAATAGAGGGGCGCCTGGGTGGCGCAGTCGGTTAAGCGTCCGACTTCAGCCAGGTCACGATTTCGCGGTCCGTGAGTTCGAGCCCCACATCAGGCTCTGGGCTGATGGCTCAGAGCCTGGAGCCTGTTTCCGATTCTGTGTCTCCCTCTCTCTCTGCCCCTCCCCCGTTCATGCTCTGTCTCTCTCTGTCCCAAAAATAAATAAACGTTGAAAAAAAAAATTAAAAAAAAAAAAGAATGTAAATAGACACTCTTCAGAGGAGATAATACAAATGGCCTATAAAAACATGAATATGTGCCCAACATCATAAACCATCTGGGAAATGCAAATCAAAACTACACTGAGGTATCACTTTACACCCACTAGGATGGTTATAGTAAGAAAGTTAATAGCAAGTGTTGACAAGAATGTGGAGAAATTGAAACCCTCTTACACTTGGTGGGAATACAGATGCTTTGGAAAACAGCTTGGCAGCTCTTCAAAAGGTTGAACAGAGTTACCATATCACCTAGCAGTTCTACTGACAGGCATATATATAATATATCCAAGAGAAATAAAAACATGTTCATGTAAAAATTTGTACACAAATTTCATATTATTATAGCTACAAAGTGAAAAAACCGAAATGTCCAACTGATGGATAAGTAAAAATGTGTTGTATCCATACAATGGGTAACATAGTAAGTATATATTATGCTTTATGACAAACTGCCAGAACTCTTTTTGTGAAATAACTTCACCACTCTGCATTCCAATCAGGAAATGTATGAAACTTCCAGTTCCTCTCCTTTCTTCCCAGTACTTGGTATGGCCAGGGTTTAGTTTTGAATTAGCCATTCTAATAGGTGTGCAGTAATATTTCACTGTGGCTTTCATTTCCATTTTCCTAATGGCTAATGATGCTGAGCATCTTTTCATAGGATTATTTGCCATCCACATAATCTTAGGTGAAAGGTCTGTTGAAGTCTTTTGCCCCTCTTTTGGAAGGTTGGTTTTTTTTTTTATTGAGTGTTAATTATATATTCTGGATAGAAGTGCATTATCTAATGTGTTTTGCAAATATTTTCTGCCAGTCTGTGGCTTTTCTTATTGTGTTTTGAAGGGCAGACATTAATTTTGAAAAATGCATTTTATCAGTTTTTATCTTTTAGGGATACTTCTTAGTTTCATATCTAAGAAAACGTTTCCTAACCCAAAGCCACAGATTTTTCTTCTCATGTTATCTTCTAGGTATTTGGTCGCTTTAGGTTTTTCATTTTTAGGTTATGATCCATTTTCAGTTCATTCTGGTCTTTGGTAGAAGTTGAGATTCATATTTTACATATGGATATCCCAGCAGTGTTTGTTAAAAAGATTATTGTTCCCTGAATTACCTTTGAGCCTTTGTAAGAAATTGACCACATATATATGGGTCTACTTCTGGGCTCTGTTATGTTCCATTGATCCATTGGTCTAACATTTCACCAGTACCACAGTGACCTGATGAGCCTTATATGAGCCTTGAAGTCAAGTAGGAGTTTCACCTTTGTTCGTTATTCAGAAATGTTTGGCTGTTCTAATTGTACCTTTCTCTATATATTGTTTAATCAGCTTGTTGATTTTTTACAAAGATTCCTGCTGGGATTTTGGCTGGAGCTTTGGGGAATCTAAAGATCAATTTGGAGAGAAGTGATATCTTCATAGTATCCAATGTTCCAATTCACAAACATGGTAGATCTCTCCTTTTTTAAGGTCTTCTCTGATTTTATCAATGTTTTCTACACTTCACCTACAGATCTTGTATATCTGTTACATTTCACATTTTGTGGTGCTACTATGCTAATTGTAAAAATTTGTTTCTAAATGTTCGTTGCTACTATGTAAAAATACAATTTTACATATTGACTTTGCTTAAACTCACTTTTTCTAGCTTTTTTTTCTTTAAAGATTACTGACTTTTGTATATAGGCAGTCACATTGACCAGTAGATACTGTCTTATTTCCAATCTGTGCTCCCCTGCTTACTATACAGTAACCTCCAATACAATGTTGTAGGAGTGTCTTGTTCCTAGTCTAGCAGGGGAAACATTCAGTCTTCACCATTCATATGATATTAGCTGTAGGCTTTTTAGTAAATGGTCTTTTCAGGTTGAGAATCCTTTCTCTTCCTGGTGTGCTGAAGAGTTTGTGTGTGTGTGTGTGTGTGTGTGTGTGTGTGCGTGTGTGTGTGTGTGCGCACATTTCAGTCATAAGTGGGTCTTGAATTTTGTCATAATTTTTCTGTACCTTTTAACTTTTTTGGAAAAATATTTGAGCTATAATATACATATTGTAATATTAACCCTTTTAAAGTTCAGTAGTTTTTAGTATATTCAAAAGGTTCTCTGCAGCTTTTACGATCATACAGTTTTACTTCTTTTTTATATCCATGCAGTGAGTTACATTATTTTTGAATGTTGCCAACTTTTTATTCCGGAGATAAACCCAACCTGGTCATGATGCATTCTTTTTATCTATTGCTAGACTTCATTTGATAATATAATCAGGGAGTTAAATGTCTCTGGCCTTATAGTAAATATTACCCTGAATATATTTTCTTAATGCTTTTGAGAAAAAAAAAATGCCTTAAATGCTTTCATAAAACTATTTAAAAATTATAATTAAAAAAAAAAGCCCTTATACCTTTCATTTTATAAAGTCATTTGGATCATAAAAACCTCACATTTGGTCTATAGATAATGACAAAATCTGCATTAAGGAAACACACAGACACACACACCCCTAAGTAATTGACACAGTAGAAAATAACTCCAATAGTAAAGGCTTTCTATAGCTGATTGGCTTCCTTCTCCTTTGGGTTGCTGCTACGGAATTTCTACAGAAAATGCTGAAAAAGGATGCAACATGATGGTAGAGATCCTAGTTTGAAGCTGTGTTTACATAACAAGTATTCTCTTAGCTGTTTGTTACAGAACAATAAAAGTGGAATTCTAAAGATTTTTTTTATTCACATTTGACATAAGATTTAGAAAATGTTAGTTGTCTGAATCCAAGAACTGGGAAGCTAAAGCAGTAGTCTCTCCCTAAAGTCGCTGCTCTGCTTGTTTTATTACCTGCAACATTAAGGTTTTGTTTCCCAGATAAGACCTACAGGTTGCTTTTTGTTCTTGAAAGAAAAGGAAACTGAGAAAGGTGCTCACCATAAAAACATCAAACATTAAAAAAGAAAGAAAAACATCAAAAAAGAAAGGAAAGAGTAGACTGAGTTTCTGCCCTTACACAGTGGAAAAAAGGCCTATTTTCATTTCAAAGCAATTTTGGGTTAATGATAATTGGGCAAAATTATACTTATTATTTGTGTGCTTTCAGAAGTAATGTCAAATTTACTTAAAATCAGATATTTTAAGTTTCTTTTCTGGTACATTAAATGGTTAAAAGTGGTGTTCTTAAAGAAAAAAAACAAACTTTTTTCTTTTTTTACAGAATAGTATAAATGTTTATTTTCTGTATGATTTACTTTGCTGTCCTGTTTTTACAATATAGAAAAGTGTATTCTTCGAATAGCTCTAGTAAATATAAATTTAATCTTTCTACTTTGGGATGTAAATAGAGCTAAAAAAATTATATACCCAACCCTCCCCAAATAGTCTTTTAAAATTGTTGAATTAATGTGGATATTAATCTTGTTCAGCAATTTGATGCAAATGCCTAAATACAAAAAGTTGCTTAGTAAGTACTACACAGGAAGGAAAGTCTTAATACTTTAGATAGCTTCTTGAAAATCAGAAAAACTAGTAGCATTTGATTGCACCTTCAAGTTTTTACAAGCAAAACATTCTCAAGCAATGCCGTCATACATAATCTACAATTGTAATCCAAATTTCACAAACATTTTCTGCACACTGTATATAAATACACATCACAAAGGTGCAATTAGAATTAAACACAGAATATGTACAAAATGAACAAAGTTTAGGTTTAGACCAAAAAGGTATTGTAATCTTTTGAAAAATAACTTGATTAGATATTTTATCCTCTTACACTAATTTACATTTATACAAATTTTAATTAAACATACTAGATTGAGGTGCTAAGAATGTTTGCACTATCTACATTTAAAGTTACTGCACTATAATTTTATAAATCCAAATTTCAAAAGGAAGATACTTCAATGAATAACGGAATCTTCTTTTGGATTACTTAATTTCTATTGCCTATATCTTGCATGTTCATATGAACATATATACACACTTAATACATACAACTATAGATTCCTTGTAGGAAATGTAATAATCATATACTAATAATTACTGAGGATTAAGGTACCTAACAAAATGCCTGAATTCCAACATGGTTTTTCTTGTCATAAAATCCAGAGTCCTCGTACAGGCTCTTCAATTCATAAAGCTCTTGAATTTTGAATTTGTGAAAATGATTTAGGTTATTTTAGTAATAATAAGAAAACACTCATACCTTCAGCTTATCAAATCACTGGCTAAAAATAATGCCATTTTAAGCTTCCCTTATAAAAAGAAGTCCCACTATAATTTTGAGAGCTTTGTTAGGAGGCCCTTTCAGTAAATCAAATAAGACTCCTACACTGGATTGAGACCTCTTAGTTCAAAAGTCTATAAAGAGAATTGTATAGATGAAAAGTCTTTCCCTCAATTCATTTATTAGAGCTTCAATGTTCTTTATTTCTCCAAGGCAAATTTTATACCTGATAATTATGTAAGTTTCTGTATTATCACTACATAATAAGTTCTATTCATATGCACCTCTCACTTTTAATAGTACCCAGTAATCACTTTGACAATTTATTAATATCATTTCAAATACACAGCACCTCCTTCAAAGAAAATGGAAACATCCCAGAGCATTTCTTAGTCACTCTTTCTTAGAGAAACACCTTGCCTATCAAGAACTACTGCCTGTCCCTTAACAGTTTTTCTTAAAAAACAACTTCTTAATTTTAAAAGTATGCCTATGGATTCCTTCCCCTTCTGACATTCCCAAAGTGACAACACGATATTATTCCAGAATCTGTGCTAAAAAGTTTTTTCTTAAAAAGGTAGTGCTTTTCTAAACACAAAAATGTCATTTGAATATGTTTCATAAGAATTTGTTCATGTAGACATTCTATCTGCTTAGGTCTAGTGCCAAAGAATGACTGGGTAATACCAATGGTTCTCTGGCTTTTTCTACTGGAGCAAAGTCCTACAACGCCATACATTATAAATTATATTAATTTATAAATGTCCTTTGTCAACAGCATCAGATGGATAGAACATCTAATTCTTAAGAAACCCATGCAAATTAAAAATCTATATAATACAATAGAGAAAAACTCAATTTAGAAGGGGCATAAACAGATTTAACTAAGATTTAAAATGTACTAATTTCCTCATTTAAAATTTCTTCTTTCAATATTATAACTTCAGGTCACACAAGGACTGAATTAACAGTACAATCATTGTTAAATTATCTTCCAGAAAATCAAGTGTCCCTGGACCTTCAATTTTCTGTACAGTTCCATTTATCAGTCTTTTGTGCAAGAGTTAGCAATTCATGGCACAAGGGTCACTTTTTGCTTTGCCTGCAGAATTGATGACGCTCATCAAACATCGTCCGAATTCCTCCAGTATCATCCGTTCGGCTGCTGCCTTTGATTTTCCCTTCTTGTCTGCCTGCTCTGCCTGGGCAAGAAGGCAATTACATGTGGCTTCCGCTACTTCCTTAGTTACAAATGTAAATGGCAATCTGAAACGATTTTTTGAGAGAGAAAGAGAGACGATGATGGTGTTGAATAACAACAAAAGTGGATGACATTACTTCACGTGAATATCTGTTAACATGTTCATGACCCACCAACACACTGAACATTACAATTTGTGCAGTGAGCACAAGCACAGCCCAAAGAGCTTTAAAAAGTTAGACCTGTTTTATTATTGCATATAAGAAAATATAATTTTACATAAAATACATGTCTTATTACCTACACAAGGTTATCTGGTTAACTAAAAGATGTTAACTCTGTATGTCAACTGGATAATTCTGTAACAAATTCTCCTAATTCGTGAATTAGTTTTCAGAGTGCAGTCTTTGTTTTATTTATTGCTGTTTCTTCACAGCCTAGAACACTGCCTGACACATAGAAACACTCCATGAATATTTGTCTGTTCAATGAATGAACAAAATTGAGCACTGCAAGCAGTATCTCCTGGACAACACTAAAAATAAAGTACTTTCCCAGAGTCCCATATATTGTTCACAAAGCAAAAAGCACACCAAAATTTTGCATTTTTCCATCATGACAAACAAAACAGTGGGGAAACCAAATGCTGTTCTCTACATGGAGTTTCATTCATAAAGACCTCAACTATTAAGTATTAAATAAGAGCAATCCATCCTGAGGCTTGCTATATGTAGCCACGTCTTAAAGCCTTCAGAGACAAATCAGGCAACCTAACGTAACCACGACACTAATGTTACCAACGACACTGACAGAAGGAAACTGCAAAACAAATGAAGTCTGAAATTCAGACCTACTGTGACAAGAGAGTAATTCAGGGTTTGGGCTGCTGTACAGTTGTATAAAAATCTTTAAAATGTAAAACACTTTAAGTTAGAAAATATTATACTATTACAATAACGTTAATATTGTATAGTTAGTAACACTGTATAATAGTTCTTCAGGATTGCTATCTGAAATATTTTGTACAAAAAGAAGCATTTCTGTAAGCATTGGAGCCTATTTCAACTTAGGCATTTTACATAATATACCATCTGGAAGGCTCATTGCATTTAATAATTCTGCAAGCTAACCTCTACTAAACCCTCTGATACAAATCCACACCAGCAAGCTGTGCGGCATCGGACCCTGCCAAACACTGGGACAGCGATGCTTTATTCTTTCTGGCCACTTGGTAAGGATGATGGGAAGGACAAGAGAACCGAGACCTAGAGAGGGGGAGTGCTTGTCGAATTCATAAACTACTGCGTAGCACACACAGTATTTAAACTCAGCTCGGCCGAACTTTAAAGCTCGAGCTTTCCTACTCCAGAGTTTAGCAGTCCAGTGAAACAAGGTGCCCCAGTAGGATGGGGAAAAGTGCTACATGGGCACGGAAAAGGCAACAGAAGGTAAGGATGTGCAAAAGTGTGAATGATACTGCTACCAGGAACAGGTGTAAAAATTCAGTTTTCTTAGGGATTTGTCAAATTACATCACTACCTCATCTTAGTGGAGAGAAATCGAATTAAGCACAAAGCGTGTTAGAAGTGTGTACTATATCTCACAGTGGTTTTCCTATTACCTTCAAAATCCTTTACAAGTAACTAGAGATAGAAAATGCAAAAAGAGGTTTGCAACAAGGCAAAGCATGAACTTAGCCTTGTCCAAAAAGAAGACACTTTACCAGAAATAATACTGATGTTATACTATAAAAAGACATTAAAATACTGACTTACTTTCCTCCTCCACTATTCAAAGCCGGTGTTGGCCTAGTAAGCAAGTCCGAAATTTGAGAAGATAACTTAGTTTTCGCTGCCGTCTGTTGCTGTACCCTTACTTCAGCTGCGTCTGCCAAGTGCATCAGTGTCTTTCGTTCTGGGCTTTCTTCAAAATTCTTACAGCCAACACATTTGCATATTGAGGAACACATTATTTTTGCCTAAAAGATTTACAAAAGAAAAGCTTCCAAATCAAACCCAAAAAGCATTACTCTTAAGTAGACTCTAATCAAATCAAAAGACAACAGAACTAACTGCTCAAGTGACATAAGATACAATGGAAACCTCTCTTCCTGACACTCAATGGGCTACCTACACGTGGACAGGTCAAATATTTAAGTCTGCGAGTGGCTACACAGTGTTTGTTTTTGAGTGCTTCCACATCATTTCTTCCCCCGCTAAAGGTTTTCCTCCTGATATGATTAACGTGTGTTCTTTATAAAGAATATGAATGATACAATATTAAAAAAATACCAGTTATCCGGAATCCATCCACCTCAACGTGTTGATCATTTCCCACTTATGCAAACACACAATTATCACATGAAAGGAATTTCATAGATGCTATTTTTATTATGGATAATCTCCATAATCTCCCTCCGTGAATCCCCTTCTCCAGCTTCCCCAAACCCTTCCATAGTCCATATTAAACCAGTGTGCCCTTGGGGCGCCTGGGTGGCGCAGTCGGTTAAGCGTCCGACTTCAGCCAGGTCACGATCTCGCGGCCTGTGAGTTCGAGCCCCGCGTCAGGCTCTGGGCTGATGGCTCAGAGCCTGGAGCCTGTTCGATTCTGTGTCTCCCTCTCTCTCTGCCCCTCCCCCGTTCATGCTCTGTCTCTCTCTGTCCCAAATATAAATAAACGTTGAAAAAAAAATTTAAACCAGTGTGCCCTTGTATGTAAAAATGTGTAAAACATATATATTTGTGAAAAACACAGCCCTTATGTACATATACCTATCTTAACTAACAAATACACGTCTTTTTTTTAGTTCATTTTACAAAATCATATGCCCCACTTTCTGCATCTTCCGTTTCTCACACTACGCCTCATGGAATCCCTCCCCCCAAGTCATCTAGCATAGGCTGGATTCATTCTATTTAATGGCTGAGTATTAATCCCTGGTATAGATGTGCCACCTTTTATTTGGGCATTCACTTGCCTGTTGCTGGGCATTTATTTTGTTACCAGTTCTTGAGTACTACAAATAATGCATAAAAGATTATTTTATATATATATATATACATATATATGCTTTTATTTCTATGAGCTACATTTCTAGAATTGGGCTCACTGGCCAAAGGGTATGTGTATTTTAATAGATGTGGGCAGACTGTCTTTACAAAAGGCTGTAACACCTCACATCTCATCAGCAATGTATAAAAGAAGCCTTTCCCACATTCCCTCCAACAGTGTATATTCTAGCTCTTTTTAATATTTAGCAATCTGGGGGAAAGAGGTGAAGTGAGATCTCACTGTTCCGTCATTGACATTTCCCAAGCCTAGTAAATTTGAGTATCTTTTGTTGGATGCAGTTTCTTCAGTGAACCCATGTCAATTTAAAGAAACATACCAACTGCCCTTTCTCTCTACAGCACCTAGCAAGACAAACAAATCGTATTATGACGAACACATTTAACCCTGCTCCTTTCTTACAATACACAAATAAATTCTCTTTACCAAGGGAACAAAATGGATATACATTCTGGGTTAATGGAGTTAAGCTACACTTAATAAGTATCTAATGATGAAGAGATAAAATCCCTGATATCAAGGGTGAAAAAGACACACCAATAACGATAATTTGGATTAAGTATGAAGAACCGTAAGAAAGGTACTAATAATCTAACAGGAACTCAGAAAGAAGAAATTAGAATGACAGAGTATCCGTTTAGCTTTGCTGATTCAACTTCCCTTGTGGTCAAAAACAAGGAGAGGAAAAAAGGTTACAAGGCACAGCCATTTAAAAAATGTGGACGCTCACATCTCCACTCAACAAGCCTTGAAAGCTGAGTGAAAGGAACAGGCATGTGTTATCCAGATGCAGACTAACTGTACCAAAAAAGCCAATTCAGTTCAAAAGACCAACAAATGAACACACAAACTGTCAGACAATATCACAACCAATTCACAAGGGGCCAATCAGCCACTGCTAGTCCTAGATTAGTGCATTCCAGTTCTTCCATTTCTTGGTCTTTGAGAGCGACAAGTTAGTTATTAGACACTATGTGTGTCCTGAAAGTCAAGGATTTTTATAACTGGGCAGCTTTCTCTCTCTTAGTATACTTCAACCAGCTTTTCTATTTCTATAAATTCTCTCTCTATATATAAATATATAATTGTTAGTTCTTGTATGTTTATCATATGCCTAGCATGTACAGACCGTTCAATGCCATATGCATGGAAGGGCTTCTTTGCCCTTCTGACCCAGCTTTACATCAAGTTCCATTTTGTCTCTTTTTGTGGACTTGGTTTGATAATAAGAATATGCTATTCTTACATTTTTTAAATATCCGTGACAAATTTTTTATGACATGGTTTATGAACAGATGCCACCTATTTCATCATGTGTTCAAATAAAGGAGTCCAGGGGCACCTGGGTGGCTCAGTTGGTTGAGCATCCAACTTTGGCTCAGGTCTGATCTCACATTCTGTGAGTTCAAGCCCCACGTCGGGCTCTGTGCTGACAGCTCAGAGCCTGGAGCCTGCTTCAGAGTCTGCGTCTCCCTCTCTCTCTGCCCCACCCCTGCTTGCTCTCTGTCTCTCAAAAATGAATAAACTTAAAAAAAAATTTTTTTAATTCAAATAAAAATTCAGGATAAAAAAGGATAAAAAACTGACTTGTTGGACTCTAAAACATTATTTAAGACACTTTCAAAATACTCTTAATTATACACAATTTTCATTCATTTTGATTTTAGGACCAACAAGAGGTTACCTTACTATACTTCTTAGAAGGAGTATTTGACTTCTAACACAGGTGAATTACGAATTCATTACATAGGGAATACAGCACACATAATCTTTACTGTGACACATTTTGAATGGGAAGGGGCACGGAATGACAGGCACACACTCCTAAAGCAGAGCAACCTTATGAGGGGAGAATGCCGTCCTTGGTACTGCTTTACCAAGTACAACGCCAGGGCTTCTGCCAAAACAAAAAATAAGGTATCCTTCTGAATATGAAATCTGAAAGTATGAAAATCTAACAGATGAGAAGAGCCAGCTAACTGTAGGGATGACTCAATTCCAAAGATTGTCAGTGAAGAGTTTTCAAACCAAAAAAGCAAATACACTAACACAGGGTTCATCTTGGGCATGAATAGATTATTCTATTTAAGCTTTGAAAATAAAAACAATGTTTATTATGTAGTTATGTAGTACTTCGTCTATAGCAAGAAGGGGATGATTTAAATAGCATTTAAAAATAAAATAAATAGCACCTGTCAAAGATGCCTGACTAATCATGGTCAGCAGCAAAAATGGATGCAATCACTTCACAATGACCAATAACCTCAACCAGCAATATTTCATGTTTCTTTCCTATTTTTATGCTCAGAAAGCAAACTTCGTAACATAATTCAGTTTTCCAAAGAGCACTGTTCTTCAACAAGGCACTGTAGGCATGTTGGTCAAGATAAATCTTCACTTTCAGGACTGCCCCTGGAATGCAGACTATTTTGTAACCACATATATTTTCAAAAGCCCAGGGGGGACAGTTGGTAGCACTACTCTTCCATTAAAGACAACTGCTAGTTTCCAAACCACTTTGATATTATTTAAAAAAATTTTTATTTATTTATTTTTAATGTTTATTTATTTTTGAGAGAGAGAGAGAGACAGACACACACAAAGTTTGAGTGAGGGAGGTGCAGGGAGAGAGGGAGACACAATCTGAAGCAGGCTCCAGGCTCTGAGCTGTCAGCACAGAGTCCGATGTGGGGCTTGAGCTCACAGACCGGACCGTGAGATCATGACCTGAGCTGAAGTTGGACGCCCAACCAACTGAGGCACTCAGGCACCCCCAAAAAGTTTTTTTTTTTTAATGTTTACTTATTTTTGAGAGAGAGAGAGAGAGAGAGCAAGCAGGGAAGGGGCTGAGAGAGAGGAAGACACAGAACCCGAAGCAGGCTCCAGGCTCTGAGCTGTCAGCACAGAGCCCAATGTGGGGCTCGAACTTACGAACCATGAGATCATGACCTGAGTTCAAGTCAGACACCCAACCGACTGGGCCACCCAGGCGCCCCCTGATGTTATTTTTACTAAAAATCAATAAATTGTTGCTCTGATTTACACACTTCCAGGTATAATGATCAAGAAGTTATGAACTGGTAATCAGGTAATGAGTCCCAAAGCCATAATGACAAGACCAAGGTATTGTTCCTCTGAAGCCCTGCTTGGGAGGCCAGAAGGTCTTCCTCAAACTAGGGCCCTTGCAACGACTGTGCATATTTTCAAACTGCGATAGCAGAATAATTTCCCAATTTGTAAGTAAATTTTTACAATATACCCTTTCTAAAGTTATTTTCAAAAAAATGGTTAGATTATGTTCACACCAGCATCTCACCTCATAGCATTCACAGTAGTTTTTAAGACATCCTGATCGTTTGCAATTACATCCTTTGCTGTGACGTCGATCTGATTCTCCCTCCTTTCCTTTCCCTATCTTAGGTTTAAAAGCTTCTGGATTTCTGTCAAGGCATGCCTATTAAAACAGATCAAATATCAACTGAAGCTCAATCACATTAGATTAAATACAGCAAAAGGAATTCATTTTCATTGTAAAGGAACCAAGTTCTACAAAAATCAGGTGAAACTGGAAATTTCTGTCAGTTAAATAAAATAAAAAGTAATCACCTTTATTGCTTTTTGCCTTTCATTTTCATGTTCCAAATTATTATAACAATTAGTACAGTTGCAGTTGTTGCAAAATTCACCATTTGCAAAGCAATCACAATATCTGGAATACAAAAATCAGTGCAAGTCACATAAAAAAGTCATTGGTTATTTTTTTTTTTATTATTGTTTATTTATTTTGAGAGAGCAAGCAAGAGTAGGGAGAGGGGCAGAGAGAGAGAGGGAGAGGAAAAAAATCCCAAGCAGGCTCCATGCTGTCAGCACAGAGCCCAACACAGGGCTCAAACCCATGAACTGTGAGATTGTGTCCTGAGTCAAAATCAAGAGTCAGACATTTAACCGAATGAGCCATTCAGGCATCCCAGAAAAATCATTGTTAAAATACATAAAACTAGAAATTATCTGATTAAAGGCATTATATATGCAGAGCCACCTACTTACAGAGTTTATTTTTACTGACTGTCAACCACGTTGATCAGCCTCAAAATTAAAGTCACTGGCTCCTAGAATTTTGGTTTAGAAACTTAGTTCCAGTAGTAACTGCTGTCAACACAACAGCTACGTGATTTTATGTGAACCCAAAGTAAGTTATTTCAAAATTATTAAAAAGGAAACACATGAGCTATATTCCAGTAGTGCAATCTGCTTACTTGAACTACAGTTATGCTTCTTGGGATTTTAAACCACTTACATGACCAGTGCTTTTCACTCAAGTGTTTCATGTCAGATCTATTGGTTCAGACCTAATATGCAAATTAATCATCCAACAAATTCTTTTTAAATGTTTATTTTTTTATTTTTGAGAGAGAGTGTGTGCGAGCAGGGGAGGGGCAGAAAGAGAGGGAGACAGAGAATCCACGCTGACAGCGGAGAGCCTGATGTGGGGTTCGAACTCATGAACTGTATGATCACGACCTGAGCCGAAGTCAGATGCTTAACTCATTGAGCCACCCAGGTGCCCCCATCCAACAATTTTTAAAGCTACTCAGAGTATCACCTCACTTAGGAGACCAAATATAAAGGTCATAAGTATAATCAAATTTATTATTATTAACAAAAGAGACTATGTCTGTCTCATGCTGCTGTGTCCCTATATTCCTACTCCAGTGCCTCATCTATGGTAAAGACTATAAAATAACTTCTGAATGTATGAAACAGTATTTTTACACCGTCATAAGTGCTCATTCACTTGCACGTTTATTTAAATTACTTGGACTTATGAAACTGGTTTGTTAAGAATTTTTATTTAACTCCATTTACTTTTAAAAGTATTTTCAGTTATATCCAATGAAGAAATAGTAGCAAAAAGACTTACAATTTCAAACACAGCGATTTTGTACAATTACAGGGCTTCCTGGGCCGACTGGCAGACTCTGATGGTATAATGCTATACAGATACAAAAAAAAAGATACAGATTTTAATCAATTAAAGATAACTACTGCAAATTGGAAATGTCTCTGCAAATCCCTCCTAAAATAAAGCTTTAACAAATGTACCCATCTCTAATAATCCATCTCTATGTTGTCCCTTCACATCAAATTCAAAAGCAAGTTGTAGAGTCAAGACAGGGAATTTTTCAGAAGGAGGTTATGAATAGCTTCTAAAGAACACTCCACAAAAAAACTCTCCTTCTGAGAGAACTAGAGCTGAAATCTGCTCAAAACTTTTGGGATTCAATTATAAAAGCAATGAGGGGAAAGGGGTATACGGGGTTGGAAGTGGAGAGAGGTGGACTGGTCCCATGCAATTAACTAAGCACCGCTTCTAAACCAATATTGCAAAGGAAGCAATTCACAGATTAAAAAACAGATTAATAACAACAACAAAAAAGGAAAGGACCTAACATAAACAATTTGAAAACTAGTTAATATCATTTTTAAAAACATATTCAGGATGAGAGAGAGAAAAGAAAGAGACAGAGAATATGTGGCAAAACTGATGAATCTGAGTAAAAGACATTTGGGAATTCTCTCCTCCTGTAACTTTTCTGTTTAAAGCATCTCAAAATAAAAAGTTCTATAGAGGCGTGCTCACATGGCTTTGAGGAAAAAATATCTTATGATGTTTTGAAATACATATATTTAATGTTGCATTTAACCTGATCCAACAACTTCACTTACATATTTTCAAAAGACTCACCCATTGAATGGAAGCCTTGCCTGGGTCTGGATACCAGGTGTTCCGGTGAAGTTTGAGTTGCTTGCTATAGACACATATGAAGACTGCTGTAGCTACATAGAAAGAAAGGTAGTTTTAGACCATATTTACAAAAATGCACAATACTCTCAGATATAATGATCAATAAGGAACACAAATTCATCCACTAAAACAGGAAAAACAGTATGGAGAATTTCATACACACTACTTCATGGAGCTCTTCTAAAGGCCCAAACTAATACCAGAGGTGAAAACAACGTGAACATTTTAAAGTACTACATGGTACAAATACAAGAAACTTTTCATAGAGGAGTAAGCATATCAGGATTAAGAAATTCTGGATGAATGACTCAAAAATATTAAGTATTAATTTGTATTGGCTAGAAAAACGCAAGTGTCTACTTGTAAATAAAATAGGCACTATACTGATCATTCATCACATTATAAGTTATAGGGAATGAGAAGTTACGTGAGCAATAAGTTTCTATTTTACATTGATTTCTATACAAGAAAAGAGATGCTGGAGACAAAAATACTAGACATTCATTTTCTAATCAGTGGTCACATTAGCATACTCCATAGTACATTTCATTAAAGTACACAGGTTTCTTTTCTCTCTCTTATAATCTGTGTAGATCAACTCAACAGCTTAGAACATGGTGCTAATTTACTGGATTCTTACGTGAAAAAGAAAACTTCTATCTGCTTTAGAAGCAGCACTCCTAACCCTCACCAGCCAGTTAGATAATACATGGTTTTAACTCTAAAGATGACCAGATGAGAGTATCTGGACAGGTCACTAAAGATGAGTCACCTAGAAATGTATCTCACGGTCTACTTTCCAGGAGCAAGTCAGTGGCATCCTACTCATATGTGAGGAAGAGCTGGATCACAGTGGCAATGTTCTCTAAAGGCACTTGGACTCCACCAACTTCAACTTCAATTTCTCTTCGATCTACATAGTCTTGCCCTCTTCCCAAGCTGCTCTCAGTCCCTAAGTGACTTGCATATGTGACTTGTGCCATTTCTAAACGCTAGAGATACATAAATAAATTCAGAAGTTTTTGTTAGCATCTTAAGATTTTAGAAAGAGCCATTTTCATACTGAGTAAGATGTTTTTGAGTAGTTTCAGAATGTGATAGGACTGCACATCTTAGACCAAATCATCCTTTCTGAAATGCGACGACTCCATTTTTTTCTCATACCTGAGTAACATACTGAGCTGGAAGCACTGCGTAGCCCACATTCCCTGTCCCCGGAGCCGGGGCCAGCACAGTGCCTGGTGGCAGGTTAGTGAGGTTTGGCTGGATCTGTGGCAGTGGTGTGGCAGGCATGATGAGCCGCTGCTGTGGCTGGCTGGTGGTAACTATTTGTGAAGTGGGATTGATCGGTTTGGGAACAACCTTAAAAAAAGAGGAATTTACAGAAGTAAATTTTACACCCTCTCCATTCAGCATATATCTCTTGTACGTGAATCTTAACTTTCAGTTGTAAAACTGAATTGTCTGTTTGGGAGAGACTGGGAAAACAAGTTCTGTGACACTCACCTGTTTGACAGTCTGCGCGGAGACAAGAGGAACTGACATCCGCACGGGAGTGGTATTAACAACCACTGGCTTTGCTTTTGAGAAAAAGGGGAGGAAGGACAATTTATTTTCAGAAAATAGTGCTTGAAACATTTAAGACACTTAGTTCTCTCAAGATATCCTGATAAAAGAGCTTAAAGAATTTCATTTATTTCCTGTCTAGAGCACTCTTTAATCAAGATAGTTACCTTTTCAAAATTCCTTAGCCCATCTACCAAGGACCGCATATCTCAGGGAGCTCCAGTCTATCCGCCTGCTAAGGGAATGTTCGTCATTCAAGACAGTCTACTGAAAATATTTCAATCTGTACTCAGGTGATTTAAACATTCCCTAGTAAAGCCAGTCACATGAAATGTTGTATAAATTTTAAAAAACTGCCATTCAGGAGCTTGAGTCACAATGCTGTTCTGTATTCTAATTGCCATGTTTGTACCGAAACCAGAGAAGATATCATTTTTATAGTATAATACATTATTTACAGAGTACCTACTAAAAGGCAGCAAAGCATGAAGGTTAAGAAGATGGTCTCTTAAGTCATAACACCCTTGGGGGTTCAAATCCCAATTCTGCTGCTTTCTAACTCTCTTTGCCTGTACTCCATCTACAACATGGGGATAGTACCTCCGTTACAGAGTATAAAGATTAAATATGTTAATCTATGAACATTTATTAGAACAGTGTCCAACAAATAGTAAGTGCTCAATAAATGTTAGTTGCTCAATAAATGTGATTATTGTTACTACAACCAACATTACTCTATAAATGGCATTATAGACAGTGTTCCGGGGAAACTAAAGTATAAAGACACTTGCTCAAAGAGGTTACACTCCAGTAGAGCAGATGAGACATATACCAAATAAAATAAACATGATTAAAAAAGAGAAAGTGCTGCAGAGTCCGAGGGAGACAGAATGTATGTCTGACTGGCAGAGGATATGGAATACTGAAAGAATGCATGACAGGCATTGTGTCTGAGGTGGGTCGTGATCAATGGTCAGGTTGCAGAGAGGGCACACAAATTGGAGCAGGACATTCCATGAAGAGGTAGAAGCATGAGCAGTGGAGGCCTGATGCTGGGAAGCAGCAAAGCATTTCACAAAATGTTAGTGAACAGACCAGTCTGGTTGGAACCTAGGGTTAAAGTAGGCAAGCACGGGTCTTTAACGTTAGGGTAGAAATCTACATATTTAATCTGCATTTTTAATTCAGTAGGCGATGAGAAGTTTCTGAGGATTTTGAAGTACAGAAATATTACTTGGAATAGCACAAAAAGAAACTGTATTTGGCCACAGTGTATAAAACAGAATGGAGTTCCACAAAACAAGGAAAGTTAGAAGAGTGCACAAACTGAGGGTCTACTTGGGATGACACAGCTGGGGATGGACAGGAGAGAGCAACTGCAAAAGAGAAGGTGAAAGTGAAAGGAACCACCCAAGAGAGGGCAGAAATTGCACGTTATTAGGGAAGAAAATGTAAGTCAGTGTGAAGCTTCCAAGTGGCCAGAAAAAGGACAGCAACCAGATGGAAAACCTCAAGGGTGAGATGATTTGAAGGGAAGATGAACCCTGACATAGAGACAAACTATGATGAAATGGACGAGAGAGGCTGGCACTAGACCTGTATGTTTGGACCAAAAGAAGTACAACCTTTCAAATTGCTTACTGCCATTTCCACAGTCTAAAAAAGGGATTTAAGAAGATAGGAAGGATAGCCCGTTAGGTTTTATTTATGCAAAAAGGCCTAGAGCCTGGTCTGAAAGAGACAGCTTGAGATAATGGGATCTAACAACAAAAGAAAAAGAACACACTTCCTTAGATAAAAAGGCTGGGAGGGCTGATGGCTGAAGACAGAAGGCTGAGTGTCCCGGAAGAACATTAGACAGTTCTCTGACCTAAAGAGAGCAGGCCCCTGCAAGCAAGGGGACAAAGGGAAAGGGTAGGGTAAGTGGGGGACCTCCAGAAAGTGTTTGATCAGTGGTGATGACTGCATCTCTCTCAATACACTAAAAACCACTACAGTGTATGCTTAACAAGGGTGGATGCTATAGTCAACACAAATTCTATCTCAATAAAGTTGTCATACAAAAAGAGTACATGACCATGAATTATAGAAGCAGTGACATCGGATACCTAATTTGAACTTACTTCCTGTTCTGAGTCTCTTCAGTTACATCAGTTTTATTTGGTTAAGTTATACTAACCACTACAGACTGATCTCAGCAGTACTAAAAAGAATTAAAGGAAATTATAAGACTGAATTCCTGCTTGGAACACAGAAGAACAGACTCCCTACTCCACTTGCTCCTTGGAGAAGAGATGCTGGCCATTGTTCCATGAACACATACAGCAGTGATTCTGAAGTGACTCCCAACAACCAGAGAAGGTAAGAATTTCCTGGTGGTCTCTGAAACAAAGGGAAGGAGCGTGTGGCCTGCCTTCAGTCACATCAAATGACAGATGCAGATGATTTTTATTTGGATAATAAAGAAAGGGTTAACTGTGTGTGTGTGTGTGTGTGTGTGTGTGTGTGTGTGTGTGTGCGCGCGCGCGCGCACACACGCACGCACACAGAACTAGAAAATTTGGGAACTCTAGGTTTACGTTAGCTTTGCATCTGCATGCTGAGTTTTCACTAAAACCTGGGAAATGAAGACAATAAAAAATGAAATGGCCAGAAAGGAGAACATTACAAATTACCTAGGGAAAGGGGGACATATTAATGTTATATAACTACATCACCAGTCTCTATTTCTCCTCCCCCTCAACTTTTGAGCACAGTCCCACATTACTATTACTGCCATTTTCATAGAAACTGGAATAATCTTTTCTTTTTTAGTCTTTAACAGAAATTCTGAGCAATCTTGTTAGAATAGCCTCATTCCAACTTTTAGAAACCATACATACGTGCAAGTGTTTAAGGCTTTTTAATTTCTTAAATTGACTTTCACCAAGATGGTAGATTACATTCTAAAGAGATTAACCATGAAGTCTTCTGGATCTTTCTAGTGTGTGGCCTGCCATCCAACCAGCAGTAAACATGGTAGAACCTTTGAATACTGGCTTTGGTGGGAAATGTACAAGATGACCCTAACCCCCCCTTTGGCATAAGGAAATCCCTCACTGGAAATTAAGCCCTTATAAAGACATATTAGTACATTCATGAACGAGAGCAGCTAGTTTTCATGTATCTCTAATAAAAATTATAAATTTAATTCATTATTCCTGCAAAATAATATATATACCTAGGTCTCTTATGGGATAGGAGAACAAAAAAAGAAAAATATGGGTGGACATAAGGGAAATTGCATGGGTGGTTGTGTATGTGAGCAGGCCCGAAAAGGGTATATACAGGAATAACTGAAGGAGCTGGAAAGGTAAAGGGGAGGGCAGGGAGGGAAAGTTGAAGGTACAAGGCAAAAAAAGAAAGAAGCAGAGAAATAGAAAAAGGTGTGTGTGGGGAGGCGGGGTGGGTTTCCAGGAGGCAAAGAGCCTAAGTAGAGAGAGGCAGAAAGGTAGATAAAAACTTAGAAAAGGAAGTACCAGTAATTAGAATTATGCAGTATCCAACCTATTCATGTACTCTTCCTGGATCTTTAGCTTCTTTTCTACTTATACCAAAGGCTTATTATTGACTAAAATTAGTGTTAACATCACATTGGAAATGGATCTCAGCATATAGTACACATACAAACACACACATAAAATATAACAACTGTATCTCACGATTACTTCATATCGTTGTAATTTATCCAGGTACACTGGACTTGCAGCACCTCTTTTAGTACCCTGCTAAGTTTAAGTACTGAGAGAATATAAAACTTGACTCCCTTAGTCAGCAATATGCAAGTGTCATTTTCCTTTCATTAAGAATACTGTAATAAAAGATTTTCTTCTAAAATCAGCTTAAAGAGGGATTAGAAAATAAAACTACTTGATAGGTCTAATTTTAATATAATACAAACTAAAATACTGTTTCCTTCACATATCCTCTATTTTCTCCCATCAGTAATTTAAAAAATAGATAGGATTTTTCTTCCACAGTTTCCCTTAGTGAACTAGCTATCGGCAATATGTTGCTCCAACCCTCTGATCCCTTAATCAAAATGAAAGAGGAAACAAGTGATCTTTAATTCTGCTATTTACATCCAGTAAATAATAAGTCATTTACTTGCCATCAACTGCTTTGTGACATTGAAGGGATACGCAGCAGTCTTCCAAGACCAAAAATCAGGCCCTAAATCATAAACTGTCCTGAGCCTTTCATAGCATTCAATTTTTAACAAGTAGATAAATATGGAGAGCGGTTCTGTGTGTGAGTCTATGTATAGGTATCGGGTGGTAGGAAGGGTTAAACACAAACAGAAAACAGAAGGACTACAAACAGGCATATCCTCCAAAAGTACAACTGAGCAAAATAACAGAACATTGTAAGTGCTTTTTATTAGCAACTACAGATTCAAAGTAAGTAAAGGATGAAAGTGGTGCAAAGTTCTTATTTATCATTTATACCTTGCCTACTAGTCATTTCAATTGACCCAAACCCTATCAAACAGCTTCACAGTTTAGAAAACAAGATAAATAATTTGGTTTCATCTAAATTTGTCCCACTAACGTAGACGGTAGGCTTACAAACCAGCAACATAATGGCTACGCACAAACTGATGAATAATTCTGATTGTCTGGTAGTATAGTACACTGTGTACCAACTTCTAGCAGAGTGAAATACTGTATTTATATACAACTATGATTCTATTTTGCGGCTTTCTGCAACAGTTGCTGAATTCATACTGTCGGCTGAAATGCCATACTTAATCAGGCTTTCAGTGAGAAAAGGACCAATGTTCTTTAATAATGTTCAAAGAATTAATGACTGTTTTTAAAAAATGGTTACTAACCTTGCTGGAGAGGTTGAGTGTTTGTACTGGGATTCTGACTAACTGGCTGGGTGGAGCTACTGGCTGTTGTGGCAGTAACAAGTCGGACATAATGAAACTTGCTTCCAGGCACTTGAATCTGCTGGACATTGGGAGCAGTTGCCAGAGGAATAATTGTCTTAAACTGTGATGTGCTCACGCCTCCAACAGTGATGGTCTGCACAGCTGATTTCACTGCCTATTAAACAATACAACACGGCTATCGTTAATCTGGGATTTAACTTGCCTACTCTTTTAACTTATGACAATTGCTCAGGTAAAAAAGTATGTTCCTGTATTTCATCAAAAGCTGTTGAAAGGAACAACCTGTTCAAAGAGAAATGAAAAGAATAGTAATGAATACAGGAGTGAAACCAAAATCGGCGAGTTCTACCTTCCATCTCTAGTAGTTACTTCCTTGAGAATCCAGGTCAGGTGACTTGCTATGAAGAAATCATTACTTAAATTACAAGAACTTACTCAGTTTTGTTAATCTTTATAAGAAAAGAATTATTTTAAACCCCAAGAATTTAGCTTCATATTCAACATCGAGAAAAGAGGATGCAGACACTTGGCTTTATTTATTGCTACCCACCAAATTAACTATGACAAATTTCATTTTCACATGTTCTAAAGAAGAAACCCAAAAGAAAAGCCCATCTTATACCCTCATTAAGTCCAGTCAATTCAACTGTATCTGCAGATACAAATGTAGCCACTAACATATGGGTAAGGGGTCAAATTCAGTCTAAAACTACCCCAATTTTGGTTGTCTAACAAAACTAATTTTGGGAGATTCAAACTTGAGTCAATATAATCATTTTAATCCTTTCCTTCATTCTGATAAACAGCAATGTGACTTCCCAAAAAGCTAAATGAAACATCAGAGGCAGAACAGAATAAAAGTCTCTCAAGATGTCTTCAGTTGGTGTTTAATCAACATACAACAGACTGTCCTATAAAGGTCTAGGCCAGATTCTCAACCAGTTCTATCGTGTTATTTCATAATTATAACCCCACCTATTTGTCAAAGAGCCCTCATGCTAAAAGACCATTCACTGATGTTGGAAATCTATATTATGCGGATAATAATTTATGAAAGAATAATTTTTAAGAATCTGAACATTTTCATAAAAGCCTAGAAAAGAGAGAGAGAGAGAGACGGAGGAATTCATTTAGCATGGAAACTCTAAGGCAATAGTCAAAGGAGATTACTTCATAAAACGAGTCACACATTATCACTGGGCAGCGGTACCACAAAGCAGATCTAAAATAAAGATAAGAGACAAGAGCCACAACCGTCATTCGGTTAAATGAAAATATAAAGCTTAAGAAAAGGGATAAAATGTGTACATATGGAAGCTACTGAAAAATCAAGCAAGCACAAGACAAGTATGTACAATGATGCAAGAGACACGTATCAGCTCAAAATGGGGAAAAAAATACTATCTTAAGGTGCCTCAAGCATAGATTTATTAGATACTTAATATGAATAAAGGATAGTGCTTTTAATACTCTAAGATGAGCTGTTTTAAATCTAGCAGCCATATTATGGGCTAGGTATAGTGGAGCCCAAGGACAGAGCCTAGTTTGGGTACATTTGCATAGCATGCCTTTTTCCAACTCTTTCAACTTTTCTGCATCCTAAGCTTCAAGCTACAACTCTTAAAAGATGTATAGATTTGGGTCTTCAAAACAAAAATCAGATCTGACTGTAAGTTTAAATTGTTTATGTCTGTTTACATCTAACAGACCTACTTAAAGATCTGCATTTAAATCCACTGTTGTACTGTTTTCTATTTGAACCACCTGTTCACTTCCATTCTTTTTTCTCTTTCTTACCTTCTTTTGTGTTATTATTCCATTCCCCCTCCCTGTATTAGCTTTTTATTTATACATTATGTTGCTAATCTTTTAATGGTGACCCTAGAGATTACAACGGACAATGTAGGAATTAAATCAGTACTTTACACATCACCCAGGAAATGAAAAGAACCACTAAACACGAATACCATTTACTTACTGTTAAGTATTTTAATTCTACATATAATAATTGAAAAAAAAATTTTTTTTAATGTTTATTTTTGAGAGAGAGAGAGGCAGAGCATGAGCAGGGGAGGGACAGAGAGAGAGGGAGACAGAATCTATAACAGGCTCCAGGATCCACGCTGACAGCACAGAGCCCAACACAGGGCTCGAACCCAGAAACCGTGAGATCATGACCTGAGCTGAAGTCGGACGCTTAATCAACTGAGCCACCCAGGCGCCCCTCTACATATAATAATTTTAACTCCACAAGGCATTAATTTACATATACTCACAAATTTACCCTTTCTATGTCATCCTGCTTCGAAGTACGAATGATTTTCCTTCTGCCTAAAGAGCGCACTTGAGGATTTCCTTAAATGTGGGTCTGCTGATGAGGAATTCTTTCCATTTTGTTTCTCAAAAAATGTCGAGTTATTTGTATCTCATTTGTTGATAAACTCATCTACTAAATTCTTTTTTTTTTTTAATATTTATTTATTTTTGAGAGAGACAGAGACAGAGCACGAGCTGGGGAGGGGCAGCGAGAGAGAGGGAGACACAGAATCTGAAGCAGGTTCCAAGCTCCAAGCTGTCAGCACAAAGCCTGACACAGGGCTCGAACTCACAGACCAAGAGATCATGACCTGAGCCGAAGTAGGACGCTTAACCAACTGAGCCACCCAGTACTCCTCATCTACTAAATTCTTTTTTTTTTTTTTAAATTCTTAATCTCAGTTTTATGTTTTCAATTTGAAAATATTCACCTGATTCCTTTTTTTTAATTGAGGCATACTGGACACACAATGTTCCATGAGTTTCAGGTTCATCAGATTCCTTCTTACAGTTTCTTTCTGCTGAAATTCTTCATCGTTACATTTCTGAATATATTAATCTTAGTTATTTAAAATTTTTTTTTTCAACGTTTATTTATTTTTGGGACAGAGAGAGACAGAGCATGAACGGGCGAGGGGCAGAGAGAGAGGGAGACACACAATCGGAAACAGGCTCCAGGCTCTGAGCCATCAGCCCAGAGCCCGACGCGGGGCTCGAACTCACGGAACACGAGATCGTGACCTGGCTGAAGTCGGACGCTTAACCGACTGCGCCACCCAGGCGCCCCAATCTTAGTTATTTTAAAAGTCTGAGTCTGATAACTCTATTATCTATATTTCTTGGTTTTGAATAATTTGGTCTGGTTGCCTGGTGACCTGATGATTTCTGATTCAATGCCAGACATTGTTTACAAAAAATTAAAGACATACTTTGAGGCTCTGAATGATGTTATATTCCTCCAGGGATAATTCACTTCAGCTTCTGGCATGCAGTTAAAAGTAGGGGCAGATCATCCTAAACCAATCACAAATTGAGCAGTTTGAAGCACAGCTTCAATCTTCCATAGGCCTGGTCTATTTCTGGTTCACTCTTCCCCTATATATTATATCAATGGTCCCAGCTAGGAATGTGGTGTTTACAGGCTTCCACCTCCTTGGTGGGCCTGAAACCAAATTTTTGTTCATGAGATCCAGAAGACTGACATGAGATCCAGAAGACTGACTCAGCTCCTTAATCTCTCTGTAGCCACTTTCTGTTCATCACTTCAGTCTCTCAGCCACAACTTACAAATCAGCAAATGATCTAAGAAGTGTCATAGTGAACATGAGGCTGACTTCACTAGGCTTCCCTTTATTTCATGAATGTTACTTCAAACAGATTTTTAAAATATTTTTCCCCTGCTTTTTAGTTGTTTTTAGCGAGACAGTTGGTCTCCAACAAGCTAGTTCTGTATAGCCAAAAATAAAATACCAACTACTTGGGTTTTAATCTAGGTCACACTCCTTTGTTGTGTGACCTTATGCAAGTAACTGAACTTCTCTGTGCCTAAGTTTCCTCATCTGAAAATAATACCTTTCTTATAGGATTGCTGCAAGGATTAAAGGAGTTAAATCATATGAAGTGCTGATAACATCACATATTATAATGCTCAATAAACATGAGCTGCTATTTGTATCATCATTATGCCCATTACAGAAGGGAAAAACTGAAGCTCAGAGAGATTAAGAAATTTCCCCAAGGTCATAGAGCTAATACAAAGTAGCAGAGCCAGGATTTGAACCAGACCCAACTCCAAGGGCCATTCTTTTAAGTAAGACATCATAATGCCTCCAACTTTACATGCTTAATCAACAGTTATTAAATGACTTAACAAAACTAAATAGTATCCAGTCCTCAAGAACTGTTAAGAACTAAAGTTGCATATTTGCCTCTAAGAAACTTTGAAACTATTTTTTATTCAGTATGCTGAATAGAAGTATAAACACATTTTTTAAATGTTTTTAAGACAATTTCAGACTCACAAGAAGTTACAAAATGAATACAGAATTCCCATACTTCCCCAATAGGCTAACATCTTCCATAATCATAGAACGTTATCAAAATGTACCAGGAAATTGGTACCATACCATTAACTACAGAACAGAACTTATTTTGGATTTCCCAGTTTTTATATGCATTTTTGGAGGATGTATGCTAAAGACTGTATAGACTTATGTAATCAACATTACCATCAAGATACAAAATTGTTCCATCATGACAAAGAAACTCTCTTGCACTACCCTTCATAGTCACACCCTCCTCCCCAACCCTAACTCTTGACAAACTCTGATTAAATTGCATTTTCCGAACACCTGAAATACTTGGTAACATACAACAGTTACTATTTTTGCAAAAGACAGAAGCACTGGAATACAACTAACTTCTTTGAGGATTTACAAGTTAGTCCCTTCCTTTAAGTATAGTGGTCTGAGAAACTCCGTGTGAATGCCCCTCTGAACATACAACATTACCAGAAAAACAGCTAATGTGCATTCAATAAGAATCCTCAGTATCTCTATTTCCTGATTAACATTCTTGACAGCTGGGTTAAAAACCAGCTATCTTAATTTAAATTCAGATAGCAACATTTAACAGGTATTAAGGGGCTGCCCTAAAATACATGGACTTGAAAGATTTCCTTATTTGTACTATTTCCTAAGCTATCTCTATTTACAGATTAATATCATAATTATGTGTTTAAAAATAAATGTCTTTGAACGTTATTTTCCAATTAGCAAATGGCAAAAGTCTTTGCTTAATTCAAGTTTACCTATAAGGAAAGGAATAAAACACTCTTCC